ATTCGACGATTTGTTTGGGCCGCTCGCCGCCTTTTTCAACTCAATTTCCCCCTCTTTCCCCTGGAAATCACTTCACGCTTGAGTGACGTCTCTTCACTCAATAACCATCGAAATTCCCATCTCTAGAAATCCCATTTCTGCAAGGGGCACTTGTTTTTGTCAATCCGGGAATGTCAATTCAAGTAATTTTTCTGTTTTCCCGGTTTTTGCGAACATTTTTGCAGGACTATTTTGAGCGATCGAGTTCAAGTGAAAATTACCCGTCTTTTCCAGGTTTTTGATTTTCTGATTGAATTTTTGGCCGATCTGGAGGTCACACGATTTACCTAGCAATTCATATTCTAGCTTTTGGCCTTTTAGCTGAATCCGGGTCTAGCCCCTCATTCAACTCTGACTTCGATCGACCAGAAAGTTCATTTTCCGAAATTTTTCGCATCTAACCATTTCAAATGCTAAAATGACATCCAGGATTCACAAGAAAAATTATTTTAGTCCCTAAATCGCCTTTTCTGAGCTTAATTTGAGTCAAACTCTGACCAGTACAATGAAAAGTTGTCTTTGCAAAATCTAACCAATCTAACGATTTCAAGTTCTCAAATGACTTCCAGGATTAACGAAAAGTATGATTTTAGTCTTTAAATCGTTTTTTCTGAGTTGAACTTGAGCCAAACTCTGACCAGTACCATGAAAAGTTTTATATGCAAAATTTAACCAATCTAATCCCTTCAAGTTCTCAAATGACTTCCAGGATTCACAAAAAAAACGATTTTAGTTCTCAAATCGTTTTTTCTGGGCCTAATTTGAGCCCAACTCTGACCAGTACCATGAAAAGTTTTATATGCAAAATTTAACGCAACCAACCATTTCAAGTTCTCAAGTGACTTCCAGGATTCACGAGAACGACGATTTTAGTCCTTAAATCGTTTTTCCTAGGCTTAATTTGAGCTCAACTCTGACCAGTACCATGAAAAGTTTTAAATGCAAAATTTAACCAATCTAATCATTTCAATTTCTCAAATGACTTCCAGGATTCACAAAAAAAAACGATTTTAGTCCCTAAATCGTTTTTTCTGGTCTTAATTTGAGCCAAACTCTGACCAGTACCATGAAAAGTTGTTTTTTTGCTTTTTTCCGCATCCAATCATTTCAATTTCTCAAATGACTTCCAGGATTAACGAAAAGTATGATTTAAGTTCTTAAATCGTTTTTTCTGGTCTTAATTCTCGCCAAACCAATTCCGGTCAGTATCACGAAAAATTTTCTATTCAAAATTTCCCGTTTCACCTCATTTCATTACCTTGGATGACTTCCAGGATTCACGAAAAAATCCATTTCAACCCTCAATTCGTTTCTTTTTCTCGTTTTTTATGGGTGAACTAGTTGAAGGTCATTTCTCGTTACTCGCTTCTCCAGTCTCGCCCAGGTTTCCTCCACATTTTCGAGTTCAACCGATTTGTGAACCCCAATTTTCTCTGGATTCAGTTTTTCTTTCTTTTTTCGTTTCTGGAGCGCATTTTTCTTTTTCTAAAGCTTTTTCTGAAGTTTTGTTGGTTTAAAAATTTTGTTGTAGAGTTTTTAATTTTAAAATTTCTTTTGGTACAGTATTTGAGGGACAAGCCTTTAATCTAAAGCTATTTCTAAAGCCGATTCTAATTTCTAAACCCTATTTCTATTATATTTGACGAAAATGAAATTGTTTGGCTGTCAGCGGACTCGAACCCTCGACCTCTCCCCCTGAATACAAGCTCACTAACCACTCGGCTATGCAGATGAAGGAAAAGGAAAAGTCTTGATGAAAAAAGAAAATGCTTGACCGGTGGGGGATTCGAACCCCCGACCTCTCCGACTGGAAACGAGCGCGCTAACCACTCGGCTATACAGACCCTTCGGACTAGGGGGAAAAAGGGCACTAAAAGCCTAAAAAAGGAAAATTTGACCGGTGGGGATTCGAACCCCCGACCTCTTCGACCCGAAACGAGCGCGCTAGCCACTCGGCCATGTAGACCCTTCCGACGCCTTTGAAAAATGGCACTAAAGCCTTCAAGCGTCCAAGCCTTCAATCCAAAGCTATTTCTAAAGCCGATTCTAATTTCTAAAGCCTATTTCTATTATATTTGAGGTTTTGACGAAAAGGAAATTGTTTGGCTGTCAGCGGACTCGAACCCTCGACCTCTCGCTATGAATACAAGCTCGCTAACCACTCGGCCATGCAGATGAAGGAAAAGGAAAAGTTTTGATGAAAAAAGGAAAAGTTTTGACCGGTTGGGGATTCGAACTCGCGACCTCTTGGGCTCGAAACGAGCGCACTAACCGCTCGGCCATACAGACCCTTTGAAGCCTGAAGAAAAAGGGCGCTAAAAGCCTAAAAAAGGAAAATTTGACCGGTGGGGGATTCGAACCCACGACCTCTCGGACTGGAAACGAGCACGCTAACCACTCGGCCATACAGACCCTGCGGATCCCTATGAAAAAGGGCGCTAAAACCCAATTAGACACTAAAATCACTAAATTTAGCTTTTTTTGCTCTTTTATCAGTTTCTCAAACAAAACTCTCTTTAAAATGATCCAAATTAAATCTTTTTATCATTTTCATTCATCCTGGAAATCACACTCTTCAGCTAAAATAAATTTGGACTCAAAATCGAAAAAAAAAATGAAAAATTTCTTTTTGCTGAAAAATTGTACCAACCCTACAAAAAGCTTCTCTTTTCTTCGAGCTTTTTGTGCTCTTTTCCAAATTTCTTTTGAAATAACTGTACTTACTGGAAATCACCGGGATATTAGCCAGTCAAAGAGCAGATTTTCTGAGCAATTTCGTCTCGATGTACCAAACTCTTTCTGGTACAGGACCAAAAAAAAGACCCTCCCGGTAAATGAGCTGAAAAAGTCCTTGTTTTAGCTGAAAAGCTAAAGAAATCTCTATTCTGGAATGCACATGAGAGATTTTTATATTTAGAAGTAAGTCTTTGTCATTTTGAACATCATTCAAAATTTCGTAACTAAACCGACCTTGTTTTAAGCCTTTAAACAACTCGTAAAGCATTGAAACCAAAAGAAAACTTGATTCTGGAAGTCACAGGAGAAAATTTGATACATTAGGCAGAGTTTTCATTACTTTGAACATCAGTCAACATCGCGTAACTAAACCGACCTTGTTTTAAGCCTTTAAACAACTCGTAGAGCATTGAAACCAAAAGAAAACTTGATTCTGGAAGTCACATCAGAAAACCTCACCGTTATTCTGTTTCTCTCTAAACTTTGACACTTTTCATTTCTTAATTTCACGATCGTCACATTTTCCCCCACTTTGTACATATAATTCCCTTCCAAATCGAAATCCCAGTACTTTCTGGAAGGCACAGAAGCCAAATTGCGACCAAAAAAAAGCAAGATCCTTTTCCGTAGAAAAATTGTACCTCAATAGTACCAAGCTTTCCAAAACAGTACCAAGAGTACCAGAAAATTCTCTTTCAGCTAAAAATCGAGTGTTCTCTTTGTACCAGCTGGTGAGCACAGTGTACTAGAACCGAAAAAGGGAAAGTGGGCGGGGCTTTGCGGCCTCCAGCAGCAACACTTCCCACTTCGACCTCTGCACTTTTCTGGGTATTTTAAAAATAGGAAAACTTTCGAGAATTTGATATAAGTATATAGTGTGCGTTCCAAAACGAACAAAAAAGCTAAAAACTTTAAACTAATTACTGAAAAATTTGCATAAACAGTGACCGAAAAAAAACCACCTTTTGTGCCTTCGTTGAAACTCGTCTGATCTCAAAAATTCTTTCACCAATAGGCCTCGTGACTTCCAGAATCAGCAAAAAAAGCTAAAAACCTTAAACTAATTAGTGAAAAATTTGCATAAACAGTGCCCCTTAAAAAACCGCCTTTTGTGCCTTCACTGAAAATCGTCTAATCTCAAAAATTCTTTCACCAATCGGCCTCGTGATGTCCAGCATTCAATTTCCTGTCGATATTTTTGGAGGGAAGGGAATCCTCGACTCAGCGCCGCCGTGCATTAGTTCTGTAATCCCCGGCGGCGGAACTAGCAACAACAACGAGCAATCCAACAACGAGAAAAGAGAAAAGCCTTCTGTTCTCCCCACAAAACACGCTCTTTGTCTCATCAAAGCACGACACAAACGAATTTAGAGCTAGAGAAAACTCTGCTAACTCTTTCGTTACTCCACTAGTCGGGTAACTAAACCAAAATTTCTCAATATATTCAAATCGCATTTTTTGCCATTTTTTTCATCGTAATAGTTAGTGTGCGTTCCAATTTGGGCCGATTTTATTTGATTTTTGCTCTACATCATCTAAAAATGAGACTTTTCCAGCACCAACTGAAACGTAACTAAACCAAAATTTCTCAATATATTCAAATCGCATTTTTCACTATTTTTTTGATCGTGATTAGTTCATGTGCGTTCCAATTTGAGGCAATTTTACTTTACTTTCACTCTACATCATCTAAAAATGAGACTTTTCAAGCACCAACTGAAACGTAACTAAACCGAAATTTCTCAAAATATTCTAATCGCATTTTTCGCTATTCTTTTGATCGTAATAGTTAGGGTGCGTTCCAATTTGAGCCGATTTTATTTGATTTTTGCTCTACATCATCTAAAAATGAGACTTTTCAAGCACCAACTGAAACGTAACTAAACCAAAATTTCTCAATATATTCAAATCGTATTTTTCACTATTTTTTTGATCGTAATAGTTAGTGTGCGTTCCAATTTGAGCCGATTTTATTTGATTTTTGCTCTACATCATCTAAAAGTCAGACTTTTCCAGCACCAACTGAAACGTAACTAAACCAAAAATTTTTCCAATTTTCCAAAATTCATTTTTCTTATCGTATTTCGTTAGTGTGACTTCCAGCTTGAGCATTACGTTTAAAAATTTCCTTGCTTGCCTTTAGAGAATGCCATTTTTCCCGCCCTACCAGATTGCCATTCGAAAATGAACGAAATAAACGAAAAATTTTCAGTTCAATGTGAAAAATGCGTTCCGTACGTGGTCGTCTTCTCCTCAAATGCCTCCAATTCATCTCCTCACTTCTTCTAATCGTTATTTTGTCGAAACTGGGCACTCAATGGATTCTTTTGCTCGGCTCATTGCTCGTCCCTCCCTTTGGAATCTACATGATCGTCAAGTAAGGGAAAACTCGTAAACGAAAGCTCAGATTTGAAAAAAGCCACTCAAACCATTAATCCTGGAAGTCACGAAGCGCAAAAAAAGTTTCACGTTTATGTTTTGCAAAGTTTCCGAGTGACACCAAATTACGCTCTGTAATTTTGGCGAAAATCGATTTTTAAAAAAAGCCATTAGCAAGTGTGACCTCCAGGATTACCATATAAACTTCTCATTTGGTCAAATGCTTTTTGAAAAGTCTTGAAAAGACGACGGTCAGAGAATTCAGATCACCCGATCGTCAAAAGCACCTTTTACCCTATCAAACCTACATGGCAGTGGCTGCAGGAAGGAGGTGAACGATTGAGACGTTAACGATTGAGACGTTAACGGTTAACGTCTAGAAACTCGAAACGTTTAGATGGCTGAGAGTTGACGCGATTCTATGCGCCTCGATGTTCATCGCTTTCGCCGGTTTCGCACTCATCCTCTTCATCAGTGCGAATCAGGTAAACCATGACCAAAATTGGCTTTAATTTCTTCGATTTTCTATTGGCACAAATTCCTTGCAAATTCATGAGAATTCAATGCAAAAAACCAAACCAAAAAACTTGAGCCAGGATCGAACCAGCGTCCTTTGACTGGCAGCCTAACCCACTATCCACTAGGCCAGCAGCGTATCTTGCAAATTTATGAGAATTCAACATTTAAATGCAAAAAAACGAAACCAAAAAACCGAACTCGGACTCGAACCCTGATCCTTTGACTCCCAGCCTAACGCACTATCCACTAGGCCACCAGCGTATCTTCTGGCCAAGAGAAAAAAAAGCCTTTTAAACCATCTCCCTTGATACTTACGTTTCGGGGGCTTTACATTAATCGATGGCAACCCCCTTAAATCTGTCTTTTCCGGGGGGCTCACCAAGTGCGCCTGTGGCCTAGTGGATAGGTTGCCAGGTCTTCACCCCGATGGTCCCTGGTTCGGTTCCGCTGACTAGCAGAAATAAATTTTGATGCTGAAATCCACTTTTGCGTTTATTAGTGATTTATTAGAGGTTTTTACAAGGTTTATACTTCTTAACAGAAGCTTCGCAGCAAAAAGAATTGACAAAAGAAGAGTTGAATCTCTCTTCCGTTCGTTTGAGAACGTTAACCACTCAGCCAACGCACGTTAACCACTCGACCATGCTCTAGGTGCAAGCGATGCAAGCGCGCCTGTCTCAGCCATGCTCTAGGCACACTGCAAGAGCGCTTGTCTCTAGCCCACACGACCCGGGTTCGACTCCCGCTCTTGTCGTGACTTTTGGTTTTAATTTTTGAAGCATTTCTTATCTTCAAAGATGATCACTGAAAATTACAACTTTCCGAATGAATTTTTTCTCTATGACAGCTGGCTCCAATACTTCCGAAACCACGTTTTTCGAATTTCTCGTTAAATTTTGATCTCTGAAAAGTATCACTTAAAGTTTCAGTCAAAATTGAGTATCACTTAAAGTTGCGTAACTAAACCGGGCTTGTTTTAAGCTTTTAAACAACTCGTAGAGCATTGAAACCAAAAGAAAACTGAATTCTGGAAGTCACATGAGAGATTGAGAGACTTTAGAAGTAAGTCTTCGTCATTTTGAGGATCAGTCAAAATTGCGTAACTAAACCGGCCTAGTTTTAAGCTTTCAAATAACTTGTAGAGCATTGAAACCAAAAGAAAACTGAATTCTGGAAGTCACATGAGAGATTGAGAGACTTTAGAAGTAAGTCTTCGTCATTTTGAGGATCAGTCAAAATTGCGTAACTAAACCGAGACTGTTTTATGCCTTTAAACAACTCGTAGAGCATTGAAACCAAAAGAAAACTAAATTCTGGAAGTCACATGAGAGATTGAGAGACTTTAGAAGTAAGTTTTCGTCATTTTGAGGATCAGTCAAAATTGCGTAACTAAACCGGCCTAGTTTTAAGCTTTCAAATAACTTGTAGAGCATTGAAACCAAAAGAAATCTCTATTCTGGAAGTCACATGAGAGATTTTTATATTTAGAAGTAAGTATTCATCATTTTAAAAATCCGTCAAAATTGCGTAACTAAACCGACCCTGTTTTAAGCTTTCAAACAACTCGTAGAGCATTGAAACCAAAAGAGAACCCCATTCTGGAAAGCACTGCCAAGCCTGGCTCGATTTAGACTGGCGTTGTTTCCATTTGTCCATTACAATCATCCTTTCTAGACGATCTACCCGTTGGAGGCTCGCCTTCTCTCCCTCTCCGGCCTCTGTGCTGTCATCTCCGCTATTGCCTATGCTTTAAACGCTCTTCTCTCCGTTTTCCATCTCCGAATCGGCACCATCGACTTCTCGCATTCAATGATCAATCATGCAAAGCTCAGCAACTCGATGAAGGTTTGGGGAAAGATTTTGGCAGGAAATAGACGCTAATTTTTATGATTTCTCAAAATTTGTTTTAAATTTGTCAATCCTGGATGTCACACTACCGAAAAAAAGCGGTTTTGAATGGGTGTTTCTAATTTTTAAAAAATGACCTTATCGATATTCAGTTCTACCGTAATTTTGTAGAATTAGCAGAAGAAAAAAATGAAAAAGGACTTTAAATTTGTGAATCCTGGATGTCATGCTTTAAAAATTCGAAATTTCCAATCCTTTCAGCTCTCTTCGGCGCCAGTCGGTCAGACCCCACTTCCACTACACATCGATACTCTGGACAGGTGGGTGATGGCGGATTTCTAAATCGAAAAAAGGAGCTTTTTAAGACACGGAGTTTTTCATGTGACTTCCAGATTCCACCAATCACCACTCCCATTCCCGGATGAGACTCTGGTTCGATCGAAAAAAGCCCAGTCCTTGAACAAGAGTCAAGACTGGGAGCTACCATCGTATTTTCAAATTGTGGTTTGTTACAAAAGGCAAAAACACTGAAATCTTATCAGTTCATTGATTAAATGCTAATTGAAAACAATATGCAAATTGATTTCTGGTTTAAAAGCGATTCCCCAATCCCCCAAAACAAGTTCTCGTCAATTTTCGACAAATTTTAGCGTTCACAAAAATTTCTAAGCTTTTTTTCGTCTATCCTGGATGTCACACTGTAATTTGAAATAGTTCTCGAGTCAAAAAAACCAATTTTTTTTCAGTCGATCCCCCGGGTGCAGAGCCTGGCGAACAAGGAGCGCTCGGTGGTCGAGAGTTGGTCAAACGGCCGGAAAGTGAATAATTATGAGTCAGTTGTCTGCTGTGACATCCAGATCATCGATTCTTTCAGGGATTGCCGCCATTTTGGCATCAACATGGTCCCATCGGAGGGGTCACCAGGTGGGCTGGATCGCCATTTTTCAAATCTTTAATCTTCAAATCAAAACCAGTGCAATTTAAGGAATGATTTCCAATTTGAGCATTAGATTCGGTAGCTAATCGAAATTTTGTTTTGAAATCGGAGAAATATTGATTTGAAGGATTTGGGTAATATAGCTGGCTGTTTTTTACAAAAGTTCGAAAAGAAAATGGACTTTGTTTTGCAATAGATCTTCAAATTGGATGTCACAGCATCTGTTTTGAACGTTTTGAAAGACCGGCGGGAAAATTTTTTGTTGACCAAGTTGCGTAACTAAACCGACCACTTTTTACAAAAGTTCGAAAAGAAAATGGACTTTGTTTTGCAATAGGTCTTCAAATTGGATGTCACAGCATCCATTTTGGGCAACTAAACCAGTTCTACAACGATTTAGAACTTTTTCCAGAGCCCTTCCAAGTCTATGATGTCCCCGCCGAGACGTCGACGCCGAAGATCAAAATTCGGCGCTTTTCCAGTCATCCAAAGATTGAATTTGGCAAGAAGAGTGTTGAATTTCAAGAATTAACAAGAATCAACGTTTCCGCGGAGCCAGAAAGACCAGTTTACTCATCTAAACAACCAACTGGTAAGTCAAAAAAAAAAATTTTTTTAATATAGAAATCATTCGTTTTTTTGTGCTTAAAATATTAAATGACTTCCAGATTAACGAATTTTTTTTTCAAAATCGAAAAACAGCTTTTTTATCAGCGCTGAGCTTGAGGAACCTGAACAGGGTCATTTGGCGAAAAATTTTCTTAACCAAAAATTCCTCCAAATTTTACTTCTAAATTTCCTGTGCGTTCCAGATTGGTCAAATTTTGATTTAAAACTGAAAAATCCCTTTCCAGTCTCAACTTTGGTCTCCGTGAACGATTACTCGACTTTGCCCACCGCAGCGAGCACTCGAATCCGGGTTCAGACCCCGAAATCATCAAAACTCTCTCCAATTCTATCAAAAGACGGAGAAATCGATGAATTGTCACCGAAGAATGAGCAAGAAAACGAGAAAATTTTGGATTTGGAGCTGGTGTGCGACGTCTAATTCTTTGAAAAAAAAAAAAATTTTAAATCATCCCGAATTTCGATTTTTCTCAGCTCAACGCCTTCTGTGACTTCCAGAAAGTCTAAATTGTCTTTTAAATTTCCCTTTTCCGCCACTTTTTTCACTTATTACCTCTCAAACTCTTCCTGTGATCCTGAATTTCGCAAATTCGTTCATTTCTCGATTTGAGTGCCTTGCAAAATGCTTTGTGCCTTCCAGATTGACCATTTTAAAGAAATCGTATCGAATCACTTTGCTTAAACACGTTCAAACTCCACCCCAGGGCTATCTCGTTTTGTCGCTTTCGGAAATCTGAGCTTTTTTTTGGTTTTCTGTTTTTTTTTTTTTTTTTCTTGCTGTTTGCTGTCCAGCTTTTCGCTTGAAACGGGTCTTTTTGTAATTGAAGAATAAATTTGTAGACAAAAGTTTCACAAGAAAAAGCACAACAAGTTTCATTTCTCAACAAAATCAGCTTCATTCTTGAATTCAGCAATTGGGCTCAAGTTTTGACTCGCTAATGAAGCTAGGCTTTTGGAGTTCCGGCTGGGGTTTCGGCTGGGGTTTTGGCTGGCTTTGCTTTGTCCCCCGGGCTAGGGTGCCGGCTGGGGTACTGGCTGGGGTACCGGCTGGCTTTGCTTTCTTCCCGGGCTGGGGTTCAGGCTGGGGCACCGACTGGGATTGCGGCTGGAGTTCTGGCTCGGGTATCGGCTGGGACACGGACTGGGATTCCGGCTGGCTTTGCTTTCTTCCCGGGCTGGGGTACCGGCTGAGGTTCTGGATTTGCTTTCTCCCCGAGCTGGGGTTCAGGCTGGAGTTCTGGCTGGGGTTCCGGCTCGGGTGCCGGCTGGGGTATCGGCTGGCGTTGCTTCCTTCCCGGGTCGGGGTTCTGGCTGGAGTTCTGGCTGGGGTTTCGGCTGGGGTTCCGGCTGGGGTTCGGCTGAGGTTCTGGCTGGCTTTGCTTTCTTCCCGGGCTGGGGCACCGGCTGGAGTTCCGGCGGGAGTTCTAACTGGGGTTCATCTAGGGCACCGGCTAGGGTACCGTCTGGGGTTCCATCTGAGGTCCCGGCTGGCTTTGCTTTCTCGCCAGGTTCCTCCATTGCTTTTGCTTTCGATAGTTAACATACTGTACCCACTTTTAGCCTGTAACCATGGAAAATCATAAAAGGCAAGACAAACTCGACTTGTTCTGACAAACTTCGACCCAACGATTGGCCAGGCTTTGACTTGACCCATTCTCCGACTGTTTTTCTGCCCGTTGATTAGAAACTGAGTGTACAGTTGCAGATAAACAGTCACAAGACGATAGAAAGGCTTCTTTAAGTGGAAATCAAGCTCGACAACCGTTTAGAGATGCTAGACATCTTGTCCATCCACCCAAGCCTCACTTTGGGTCCCCGTGATTACTGACTTATTCAGGGCTAAAAAAAGGGCTTCATTACAATCTTGAGAAGATAGTGTGACATCCAGAACAGCGAAATTTGAAAACGAAATTGAAAATTCTCTAAAGTTAGTGAGGCTCAGTCGTCAGCTACTTAACCCAAGAAATCTGTTTGTTCTGTTTGTCTGTTTTTTTCGCTTTCGCTTTATGCAGTTATTAACTATCAACATTTAAAGAGATTCTCGATTTTTTTTACGAGTCATTACTCTTTGTGACATCCAACTAAGCCAATGAACACAAGATTAAAGGGATTCTAAAAGCTAGCTTCTAAAAAACACTCCAGCTACAGTAACCCTTTTCTCGTCTTTAGGATTCTTCGTACTTTTTACTTGTCATTACTCTTTGTGACATCCAGCTAAGCCAATGAGCACAAGACTAAATGGATTCTAAAAGCTAGCGTCTAAAAAACGCTCCAGCTACAGTAGCCCTTTTTTCGCCTTTAGGATTCTTCGTACTTTTTACTTGTCATTACTCTTTGTGACTTCCAACTAAGCCAATGAGCACAAGACTAAAGGGATGCTAAAAGCTAGCCTCTAAAAAACACTCCAGCTACAGTAACCCTTTCTCGTCTTAGGAATTCTTTTGATTCAAATTTCTAGGGTTGCAATTTTTCATTGCAATCTTTGGTTGAGAAGATAGTGTGACATCCAGAACTGCGAAATTTGAAAACGAAATTGAAAATTCTCTAAAGCTAGTGAGGCTCAGTCATCAGCTACTTAACCCAAGAAATCTGTTTGTTCTGTTTGTCTGTTTTTTTCGCTTTCGCTTGTTTGCAGTTATTAACTATCAACATTTAAAGACATTTTATTAAATTACACATTAAATAAACGACAAAAATTACAAACAAAATTAAAAAAAACAAAAATTAAAAAAATTAAAAAATTTTTTTTTTAAAACAAAAATTTCGTTTGAGGATCAATGAGGGGAAATTTCCATTTAAACAAAAAAAATCAAAAATTCTCTAAAGAAACCCCAAAAATTTCAAAAAATAACTTAAATCTGGATCTCAGGGTACACGAAAAACGAAAATTAATCAAAAAATGGAAATTTCAGAGCTTTTTTGGAAATTGCCCGATGAACTTTGAGACTCTGAGCGATTTTGGGACTCAATTACAAACAAAAGCGAAAAACTTTTGAGTTCATCGGCCTAGCTGGATATCACGACGAGCGTTGACGAGGAGAAAATTGGGGAAATCCGGAAATGGGCAAATGGGGTACGGTGGGTGGAGCGCTTCTTAGAAGCCGCGTCCCCATCCGCCCTGGCCGGCTGCCTGTTGTCCCTGCCAGGTTTGCTGGCCTCCGCCCTGGCTCCAGCCGCCTCCTTGGCCACCGCCTTGGCCACCGCCTTGTCCCCAACCGCCTTGTTGGCCACCACCTGAAACGGGTGCGGTATGTATACGGTAGAAAGTTTTGAAATTTTGAAAAGTAGCCAATTTTGGTTTAAACCTGCGGAATGCCTTTTGTGCGTTCCAGATTAAGTAAAAATTTTGTTTCTGATTAGATTTTATGAAATTCTGAACCCAAAAATGGTCCAGCTCTAAAAGTCAGTATTGATTTTTTGAATTTTGATTTTTTCTCAGTTCTAGCTCCGCCCAATCACTTCGTGCATTCCAGTTTGCCCAAAAATTAGTTTCTGATTAGATTTTATGGAATTCAGACCCTAAAAATGATCCAGCTCTAAAAGTCCAGAAAGAATTTTTGAATTTCAATCTTTTCTCAGTTCTAGCTCTGCCAAATCACTTCGTGCGTTCCAGCTTGCACAAATCTCGTTTTACAGTTGTTGTTGTGTGTCTGTGTTCTGCAATTCTCCGCTGTCAGCTACAACTCACCATATCCTCCTCCTCCTCCTCCTCCTTGCTGTCCTCCCCATCCTCCTTGCTGGCCACCGCTCCAGCCTCCGCCTTGTTGTCCTCCCCATCCACCACCGCCTCCTCCTTGTTGTCCGCCCCATCCCTGGTTGGCCCACGGTCCTCCACCGCCGCCACCGCCGCCGCCACCACCACCGCCTCCGCGTCCGCCTCGGCCGCCGCCACCGCCACGGGGTCCTGCAATGGAAAGTGTATCTTGGGGTGCTGTAGTTATAGACAGAGAGTCCAGCCTGGCCCTGGCTTTAACCAGGTCCAGCCAGGTCAGCCAGGTCAGCCTGGCCCTGGCTTTAACCAGGTCCAGTCAGGTCCAGTCAGGTCCAGCCAGGTCCAGCCTGGCCCTGGCTTTAACCAGGTCCAGCCAGGTCAGCCAGGTCCAGCCAGGTCCGGTCAGGTCCAGCCAGGACCTGGCTAGAGTTCAAGAAATAAGATTTCTACAGTAGTTCGCGGCCAGTTGGGCTAGCTATCCGCAGTCAAGTGTACTTAAAATCTACCTCCAGGTCCTCCCCGTCCTCCGCCGCCGAATCCACCTCGACCTCCCTGGCGATCACCGCGGAATTGGCGATCGCGTTGGCCTTGGTCGAACTGAAAAGAAGAAAGTTAGACTTTGAGCAATTTTAGCCACTAATTTCAGAGCAAATGGGAAATTTTGAAGTTCAATAGCCTATCTGGATGTCACAAAGAGTAGTGACGAGAAGAAAATCGAGGGTTTCTTAGAAAGGTGGAAAGGGCTACTGTAGCTGGAGTGTTTTTTAGAAGCTAGCTTTTAGAATCCCTTTAGTCTTGTGCTCATTGGCTTAGCTGGACGTCACAAAGAGTAATGACAAGTAAAAAGTACGAAGAATCCTAAAGACGAAAAAAGGTTACTGTAGCTGGAGTGTTTTTTAGAAGCTAGCTTTTAGAATCCCTTTAGTCTTGTGTTCATTGGCTTAGTTGGATGTCACAAAGAGTAATGACAAGCAAAAAATGAAGAAAGACTATAGCTGGCGCTTTTTAAGTTACCGTACTCCCTCACCTTAGCCATTTCTTCTTTGGACAGTCCCTTCTTCACATCACATCGTTGATCGTTGATTTGGTGAGATTTCATGAGAACACACCTGTCCACCGCATCGTAGTCGTCAAAGTGGACGAAAGCGAAACCGCGAATTGTGTCGGAGTTTTTGTCCTTCGCGATGTCAACCTGGAATGGGAATGTTTCGAGTTTGAGCAATTTTAAGCTCAAATTTGGGTTAAATGAAAATTTTTTAAACTTTAACGGCCTATCTGAATGTCACAGAAAGTGATGACTATAGAGAAATCGGGAAATTCTTAAAACGAAAAAAGGGTTACTGTAGCTGGAGTGTTTTTTAGAAGCTAGCTTTTAGAATCCCTTTAGTCTTGTGCTCATTGGCTTAGCTGGACGTCACAAAGAGTAATGACTCGTAAAAAAGTTGGGAAACTCTTAAGACGAAAAAAGGGCTACTGTAGCTGGAGCGTTTTTTAGAAGCTGGCTTTTAGAATCCTCTTAGTCTTGTGTTCATTGGCTTAGCTGGACGTCACAAAGAGTAATGACAAGTAAAAAAAAGTACGAAGAATCCTAAAGACGAAAAAAGGGTTACGGTAGCTGGGGCGTTTTTTAGAAGCTAGCTTTTAGAATCTATTTAGTCTTGTGCTCATTGGCTTAGTTGGATGTCACAAAGAGTAATGATAAGTAAAAAAATCGGGAAACTATTAAAATGAGAAAAGGGTTACTGTAGCTGGAGCACTTTTTAGAATCTAACCGATTTTAGCTTCAAGGTTCATTATAGCCTCAAATTTTAGCACTCTCACCTTAAGCACGTTTCCGAACTCCGAGAAATAGTCCTTGAGCATGTCCTCGGTGTGTCCGTCTTTGATGCCGGAGACGTAGAGGCGCTGGGTGGAAACCTGGAAGGTGAATGGGGTGAATTTGAATCAAAATCTCCTCCTAATCTCTTTTCTATCGTCAAATATCTCAATCCTGGGTGTCACACTATCTTCTGAATCAAAGATTTTAAAGAAAAATCGCAATCCTAGCAATCGACCTATGCAGAATCGAGTTTGAGTACAAAGCTTGCCTATCCTCAAACATTTTCCTATTTCATCTTCAAATATGGCAGTCCTGGATGTCACACTATCTTTCTAGCATTCTAACATTCTCTATTTCAGCATTCTAACATTCTCTATGATCCAACCTGCGACGGTCCCTTGTCATTCGCATCTTTCGGCACAGCTCTCTTCGAGTCGACTTTCTTCCCGTCGATCTCGTGCGGACGAGCGGCTTGAGCGGCGTCAACCTAGACAGGGATTTGAATCAAGATATTGAATCAAGATATTCAAGATATACCGTAACCAAAACCGTCTCAGAACCCTACCTGAGTCTTCTTCGCGTAGGTGACGAATCCAAAGCCGCGACTGCGTTGGCTCGCTGGGTCTTTCATCACAATGCAATCGGTCAACTGAAAATTGGCAAATTACCAAAGAAAGCCAAAACTTGATTTTTACTGCTTTTACCGTCACCGGGACGATTTTGCGGCATTTCTGAGTAAATTCTTGCGCAATGAGACCAAAGTAATGGCTTTAGGGGCCAAGCTGGAGCGCACAGCAGTGAAAATTTACAGTATCGAGATCGATAAACGAAAACTAGAGTTTGACTGTCACCGGGACGATTTTGCGGCATTTCTGAGTAAATTCCTGCGCAAGGAAGTCAAAGTAATGGCTTTAGGGGCCAAGCTGGAGCGCACAGTATAGAAAATTTCAAGAAATTTAGTGCCAGCTCAACTTTTAGATGTACATAGTACTCTGTCGTACTGTACACGACTGTCGTCCACAGAAAAGCCACGTAGCACAGTGCTCGGTAGGTTCTTTTTACTCAAATTCACCTCTCCGTACTGCTCGTAGAATGCTCGGAGGATCTCGTCGGTGGTGGTCGAGGTGAGTCCTCCGATGAAGAGCTTCCTGAACGCCTCGCTCTCGACATCAGTCCCATTTCCCTGTAAAGTGTCAAGATTTCGATTTTGAACAAATTTTTCGCCAATCTGGCACGCACGCTTGAGATTTAATCGAAAATCGGATCATTTACGCGTTTCCAAAAAAAAAAAAAATTTTCATCTTTTAGTGCACTAGGTTGGGCACATTTTTGTTGAAAAAATTTAAAAATCCCGTTTTTTTTTTTTTAAATTAGGAAGCTAACTTGCACTCCAAAATCGCTAAAATTATTAGAAATTATTAGAAATCATTGAGAAATCTCTAAGATTCAACGTCAAATCAACTCACGTCGGCTTTCATCCTCTCAACTTCAGTACACTAGCTCAATGAGAACTGCAAAACTTAGGTAGGCCCCGACGATTGGATTGCAAAAAATAGTAGCAAATTTACTATTTTAGAGAGTCAGTGGTAGAGATCAGTCAGTGTCAGTGGGGATCGGCCTGAAACTAAAACTGAAAAACCTAGAAAAATTGCAGAAAAAATTGCTGAAACGAGTTCTAGCTAAAATCGACAAAACCAACATGCAAATGGATATTTTTAATGGCTTCGGGCTACAAGCTGGAGCGCACAGTATCCAAAAATGCAAAAATTTCGAGGCTAACGTCAAAAGCTACCCGGCTTGCTAAAGGGTGACCGAGGTACCGTAACCCGAAATTTCTAAAGCTCATTTCGAATGTTTAAACTAGCGCAGCAACTGTCGTGAGTTCCAGGATTTACAAATATTGACTCAAAATTGTTAAGTTATATGCTAATTTTTGAGATAATCGCTCAAACTCGTAACAAAAGCCACCCGGAAACACCTGGCGTTTGGTTCTTGTCAAAACTGGGGTAAACCTGGCTAGATCTAGCTAGATCTGGAGCGCACAGTATCCAAAAATGCAAAAATTTCGAGGCTAACGTCAAAAGGTACCCGGCTTGCTAAAGGGTGACCGAGGTACCGTAACCCGAAATTTCGAAAACTCGTCTCGAATGTTTAAACTAGCGCAGCAACTGTCGTGAGTTCCAGGATTTACAAATATTGACTCAAAATTGTGAAGTTAAATGCTAATTTTTGAGATATTCGCTCAAACTTGTACCAAAAGCCATCAAAAATCGAAAATCTCCATTTCTAATCAACAATTTCTTAAAAAAATGATTTAAAAACGGTTAGAATGGGGGATTATTGATTAGAAATGCTAAAAGGTTGAAAGAATTTCGAAAATTGACTGACCTAATCGATATCGAGATGAGTTTTTGCAGGGAGTGTTGGATGGTGCTAAGAAAAGCGAATGAATGAACGCGACGACCCCGAGGCGAGAAATCGATGTCGGAGAGAGCGGTGACAGCCAGATGGACGAATGAAATAGGAGAGAAAGCGGAGAGGCGCAGACGGGGCGGAGGAAAGCGCTCAGAGTCGTGTCGCGGTCGCGGAACAGCGGCGTCGCGGCTGTTTTCCTGAAAGGGAACGCCGCTGGCTAGGGAAAACGGGCCGCCTAGCTATATTAGCAATCGGAAAAGGCAATTATTTGAAAAAAAATGGCAATTGGCTTTGAATTGGCAATTGGTGATTGGCAATTTCAAAAAAAATCCGTTTTAATTGCTCAGGGAAGATTTTGAGAAAAAATTAGCATATTCAATGAAACAAAGACAAATTTGAATGCAAATTCGTTTAATCTGGAGCTCACAGTACCGTATTTTCAAGACGAAATGTATTTTTATGCAAATTTTAAAAAAAAATCCAATTTAATCGCTCAGGGAAGATTTTGGGTAAAAAATTAGCATATTCAATGAAAGAAAGACAAATTTAAATGTAAATTCGTTCAATCTGGAGCTCACAGTACCGTATTTTCAAGACGAAACTGATTTTTATGCAAATTTTTTCATCATCAGTTTATTTTCATCAAAAAAAAAGCAAAAAACACAAAAACCTAAAATTTTCGAATTTTTAAAAAAAATTATCACATAAAATCACAATTTTGTGAGCTCAGAGAATGGGAAAATCGAAAATTGACCAAATAAATTGAAAACCCAAAGACCGTAGCTGTCTAGAGTCCTTCCTGAAGTACTGTAGCTTTCTAGAGTCCTTAGAGTACTGTAGCTGTCTAGAGTCCTTCCTGAAGTACTGTATCTGTCTAGAGTCCTTCTTGAAGTACTGTAGCTGTCTAGAGTCCTTCTTAGAGTACTGTAGCTGTCTAGAGTCCTTCCGGAAGTACTGTAGCTGTCTAGAGTCCTTCCTGAAGTACTGTAGTTGTCTAGAGTCCTTCCGGAAGTACTGTAGCTGTATCCCGTATTTGAGTGCGTTGAAGGAGAGCCGGAAAAAGATTGGCTCAATATTTGCATAAATAAGCTGGCTACAATGATAAAAATGAACTTTTTGTTCATTCTGGATGTCACAAAAGGCACTAGATTCAAAAAAATCGCGATATTTGACATTTGGCAATTGGCCAAAATCGAACCCGGGTCGCTCGATTTGGAGTCAAACTCGCTAACCACTTGGCCACGTTTTTTTTTCATTCATATTTTACTGTGCGCTCCAGGATTCACAAAAAACTTGAAGAAAACGAATTTTAACGATTTTGGAAAGCTTTTTGAGGCCCAGCTTTGAACCAGTGAGAGCAAAAAAATAAAATTTGAATAAAATTAGCAATTTAGAGTGTGAATCATGGAAAAAAATGAAAAAAACGAAAAAAAGGCTTATGTATGCGAGAGAATGAGCCAGCTAACAATGAAATAAAAAAGAAAAATCGGGTAGACGACGAGAAGTTGCCGTTTTGGAGCCTGAAGAGACGAGAGGAAGCCCATAGCGGCTAAAAAAGGTTTGAAATTGGCCTAGCTTTGGCTCCTGGCTTAAATTGTGAACTAGAAATGATTCGGAAGCAAGGTTCGAGTCAGTTTCAGTGCGGTCGGCTTGAAAATAAAGCTGAAAATCCTAGAAAAACAGGGAAAATTGAGTTCTAGCTAAAATCGACAAAACCAATATGCAAATGGATATTTTTAATGGCTTCGGGGTGCAAGCTGGAGCGCACAGTATCCAAAAATGCAAAAATTTCGCGGCTAACGTCAAAAGCTACCCAGCTCGCTAAAGGGTGACCGAGATACCGTAACCCGAAATTACTAAAGCTTATTTCGAATGTTTAAACTAGCTAAGCAATTGCTGTGCGCTCCAGGATTTACAAATATTGAATCGAAATTGTTATGTTATATGCTAATTTTTGAGATATTCGCTCAAACTTGTACCAAAAACCACCTCTGGCCCTTGGTTCTTGTCAAAACTGGGGTTAAACCTGGCTGGATCTAGCTAGATCTGGATGGAGCTGGCTAGAGCTCAGCCCAAAGCCGTATTTCAGTCATTTTACAAGAAATTGATGATTAGAAATGGAGATTTTTCATTTTTGATGGCTTTTGGTACAAGTTTGAGCGAATATCTCAAAAATTAGCATATAAATTAACAATTTTGAGTCAATATTTGTTAATCCTGGAATTCACGACAGTTGCTGCGCTAGTTTAAACATTCGAGACGAGTTTTCGAAATTTCGGGTTACGGTATCTCGGTCACCCTTTAGCGAGCCGGGTAGCTTTTGATGTTAGCCGCGAAATTTTTGCATTTTTGGATACTGTGCGCTCCAGCTTGCACCTAGAAACCATTAAAAATATCCATTTGCATATTGGTTTTGTCGATTTTAGCTAGAACTCGATTCTGCAATTTTTCCGCAATTTTTTGTTGGTTTTCTGACTTCCAACTCACCATACGTTGCCCACAGAAAGCCGACAGCGGTGAGGGTTAAATGGACGACGAAAAGATTCCCCTTTCCGATGATCGAACAGAGAAGAGCGGCAAGCGATGGAGGCAGAAGACAATAGCCGATCACACAAAGAGATTGGAAGAACGAGCTGAAAATTAGTCGATCAAGAACCAGCTGGAAAGCAACTTAGCTTCATAACTAGCTTTGAGCTGATAACTAGCAACTGGTAGCTATTTGGGTAAAGAAGTGTTTGCCGATTTGTGTTCGTTGCAAAAAAGTGGCTCAAATTTGGCTCAAAAAGGTGTTTGATTTTATTTTTGGTCAATCTGGAGTGCACAGGCCAATCCTGGTTAGTTTTCAGCAAACTAGCTGTTAGGTATCTGTGAGTGTTTCCTTCAGCAGTGTCCGACTCAGTAAACTGGTCTAAATTTCAGCTTTAAAAGCTGTTTTAAATTTTTTCGGCCAACCTGGAGCTCACAGTAGCCACCGGTTTCGGAAATTTCCGAAAAACTTTAAATCCTAAAATCTTAAAATCTCACATTTGCCCTCCCAACAACTTGATGTTCAACGTGACGATAACCGAGCCGAAAAATGTCAGGGTGAAAACCTGGGTGAATTGTGGAGCCGCCTCGCCGCCTTGGCTATGCAATAATCTAAATAGTTTGATGATTTAAAAGAAATTTTCTTTGAAAACGTTTAAATTAAGCCTTTTGAAGCTGTCCAAGCATTTTCTAAACGATTGGCTAAAGAAAAATGGTCTCATAATTTCGTAATCCCTAAGCTGGAAGTCACACAACATTTCCCAGAAATCAGATTTTAAGTAGGGATCAAAAAAAAATCCGACTAATTCCAGGGGTACGGTAGCAAGGGCACTTTTTAGCGACCAGCCGATTACGGTAGGTTATCCATTTTATACTTTCGAAAGCTTACAATGATAGAAATACGCAGATAAAGAGCGGTCCCCAGAGATCCCAGTCCCTTAGCAGTTGAGTTTTGTCCCTCGATCCCGGGAAAAGTACATGCGTGAACTTGGAGCCGATTGTTCGCGCGTCACGCATCTGAAATCAAAAACTCCTTTATATTTCTCCAATCTGGAAGTCACAAAACAACTTTTTCAAAAAATAACGGGCATTTAACAAATCTAAAAAAAAATTAAAAATCCCAGCTCTGACCAAAAATTTTCAAATTTTCAAATTTCAAAATTTAACTCAGAAATTTTTCCATTAGCTTTCATGACTTCCAGATCGATAGAAAGTTCAAAAAAATCTACATATCATCTTGAAAATTATGCAAATTTTTAGCCCAACTCGAATCATGACGTCACCAAGCTGAATTTGCTTATTTTAGTCAAAAAAAATTTGCATGATTAACCCTCGTGCGCTCCAGGATAGCTATTGCACTTGAAATCTGCTCAAAAAAAACGAACTATCGTGTCCCAAACGGGCTCGTCGAGGGTGTCGAAGTCGGTGTTTAGGTCGACGTCTTGCAGCGGTGTTCGTCGGCCTTTTGGCTGTGGCATTGACGAGATGCTGCCTAAAGATTTCTTTATTTCAGGTTATGGTGATTTTTAGACAAACCGCTCAGATCATTTTGCTGGTCGGTGCCGGAGCCGAGCTGAAATTGCGTAATTAAACCGAATTTTTTGAAACCGATTTTTTTTAGTAAACCTATCTTCTAATGCCAGTGTTTTGTCGTGTGACTTCCAGCTTAAAGATTGGCAACATTCAAATAACTACCGCTGGATTTGGTCAACCAGATCGGCCAGCTCACTATCGCGTAATTAAACCGAATTTTTTGAAACCTTAAAAACCTCTCTTCTAATGCCACTATTTTGTCGTGTGACTTCCAGCTTAAAGATTGGCGACATTTAAAAGACTGTCACTGGATTTGGTCGACCAGATCGGCCAGCTGACTACTGCGTAATTGAACCGAATTTATGAAACTGATTTTTTTAAGTAAATCTCTCTTCTACTGTCTCCGTTTTGTCGTGTGACTTCCAGCTTAATGATTGGCAACACTCAAACGACGACCGCTGGATTTGGTCGACCAGATCGGCCAGCTCACTACTGCGTAATTGAACCGATTTTTTCGAAACCGGTTTTTCTAAACAAATCCCTTTTCTAATGTCATTGTTTTGCCGTGTGACTTCCAGCTTAACGATTGGCAACATTCAAACGACTACTGCTGGATTTGGTCGACCAGATCTACCAGCTCAGTACTGCGTAATTGAACCGAATTTTTCGAAACCTTTCAAATCTCTCTTCTAATGCCACTATTTTGTCGTGTGACTTCCAGCTTAAATCCTGCTTCTATCAAAAGTAAAGTTTCTTTGAGAAATCTCTGCAAAAAGTGTCAGTGGTATTTTGGCGGAGCTAAAACTCGTTTTTAAAGCAAAAAACGTGGCTTTTAAACCAAAAGCTTCCTTTCTAAGCCTTTTACGGCCATTTTCCAGCAAAAAACTCACAAAATCGATGATCGTCGACGCGTTGTATGACGTCATCGAAAAAAAATTTCCGCCAACTTTCCGGGAATTCGGTGTATTTTAAAGAGAAATCGGCGAAATCACAGATTTTAAGTTTCCAGCGATTTCTCGGTATCTCTGAGTTGAAATCGCGAAGCCACGACAAACGAGAAACGGGAGCGGGCTACGGTCGATGGAGCGCCGTTTAAGAAGACAAGGGGACGAGGCAGGGCTGATCAGAGCCGATCATTCTGCCCACCCGACTAAATTCGAGCATTCTAGGGCGCAAAAAAGAAATTTTTTTAAAAATTTAGCTTTTCTGGATGTCACTAGGCATTTTGAAATATAAAAAAAGCAAAAATTTCGTAAATTTTTTATGTCGAAATTTTCACGGAACGAGTACGGTAGATTTTAGAGCTCTGGGTAGCTCGGATTACGGTAATTTTTCGATTTTTATCTGATCTGGAAGGCATTTGAGCTGGCTGAAGCTTTGTTTTGCCTTTTTCTCAAATCGGTAACTGGTTGATGGTCCTAAAGGTCCAATTCCAAACTTCGATAAACGCTGGTTGAAAATGGCTGGCTGAAGACTCACCATCTAAGGTTCTGCTAAGAAAAACGTAAAAACAAAAATCTGCTTGTGGTGTTCCTTTCAGAAGACGAAAAGCCGAAGAAGATTCGTCGAAGAGCAATTGCCCGGAAATCAAAAGGACGACGTTTACCGAACCAATAAGCTTGATCCTCTTCAAGCAGTCGAAATCCAGATTGTTGTGTGACATCCAGATTGCAAGAATATTAAAGAAATTTTTGGAAAACTTCAACCGAACAAGACATAAAGACGAGATCGCGATTTGGGGTACGGTAAGCAAGGTTAAATGCGATTCTACTTCAGGGCCCCTACTCCAGGGCCCCTACTTCAGGGCCCCTACTCCAGGGCCCCTACTCCAGGGCCCCTACTCCAGGGCTCCTACTCCAGGGCCCCTACTCTAGGGCCTCGACTCCAGGACTCCTACTCCACCGATCCTACTTCATCGATTCTACTCCAGTTCGATAAAGGCTTAATGACTGGTTGATCATCATCATCTAAAATTCTGTTAAGAAAGAAAGTAAAATAAAACAAGAATCTGGTTGTGGTGTTTCTTTCAGATGACGAAAAGAGCCGAAGAAGATTCGTCGAAGAGCAGTTGCCCGGAAATCAGAAGGCCCCGAACCAATAAGCTTGATCCTCTTCAAGCAGTCGCCAACGCTGCTTTTTGGAATGACGAGTTGTTCGAGCTTACTCCAGAACTCCAGCGATCCTACTCCAGAAGACGAAAAGCCGAAGAGCAAATCAGAAATCAAAAGACGCTAAAGGAGAAGTTATAGAAGTTATAGAAGCTGATTAAAATGTCTCAAAAATTAGCGTCATACTTGGTAGAGAAGTTTACAAAATCTTGCTTAACCCATTCGAAACTTCTGCAGCGAATCGGTCAATCTGGAACGCACTAGGGGTTTTCTCGAAGCCAAAACTGGTAAAATGTGAACTGGTAAAATTTTGGAATCTCGGTCGTGGTCCTGACCCGAGTCGGTCAATTTTAACCAAATTTTGGACTAGGAAAAGAAATTCGTTAATCAAAATGGTCAATCTGGAGCGCACTAGGGGTTTTCCCAATGACAAAAATGTGAATTAGTGAATTTTTCGAATCTCGGTAGTGGACAGGTCACTACAACAATCGAGACTGGTGAAAAATGACCGTTTTTTCGAACTGATAAATGAATTGCGTAAAATAATTATAAATTCTGGAAGTCACTAAGCTTTTTGATTCAGCCAGAATTTGAATTTAACCATTTTAGAAAAAAGATTATTTACCCAACTTCAGCTCTCCAATCCAGCTCTCCAAAAGTGAAAAAATAGAGATTTCCGAAATTTTAGTGATTTAAAATGTTACATGCGTTCCAGGATCGCTAAAAATTGATTTAATTTTGAAAACAGCTGGCTAGAAATGGCTAGAAAATTTGTAAACTCGTACAAGTGGCTACAAAACCCCGGGAAACCGCTGAAATGCTGGAAATTGGCTCTTTGAACCGCTCATTAACCCATTCGAAACTTCTGCAGCGAATAATCGCTGCAACAAAAACTCAGGAACGGACCGCTGCAGCGATTATTCGCTGCAGTGCTAATTGAGCTATTGCTTTTTTTTTGCTGTTTTTCAGCATTACATGTATATTCCAATTGTAGCAGATCTACAAATTACGTGGGCAAAAAAGATGTTTCATATTTACCCGGAATCAATGCAGTCTCTGGTTTTGCATTGAAATGTTCCATAATAGCTCTAGCTCTAGCTCTAGCTCTAATCTAGCTCTAATCCTATAAAGCCGATCACCTGCAGGATCCAGTTCATTATCACAAAAACGCAGGTTTCGAAGAATAGATTCAAATTTTGCTCTTGACATAATGTGGGACATGTGGGAAAATCCTCCTAATCCAGGCCTGCTACTCCAGTAGCTACTCCAGTAGTCACGAATCCTCGGTAATTTGACGATTCCAATTTGAAGCCAGGAAGAGCTTGAAAGATTTTGCATCGAAATCCTGCCACTTTGTTTTCCTTTTTCCATGTTTATTAGATTCGCCTACGAAAATATTGTCGTCGATAAAATAAGAACAATAATCGATAGGATCTTGAAAAGTACTGGAGTCAAATCCAAATCGTTCTTCATCAAAAATAAATGGTGTAGGAGACTCTCGTCAATCTTTCCAACCATCTGGATGAACTGCTTCGGACGCATCGTCATCCTCTTCCTCGGATTCGCTTGAACTTGATGAAAATACTTCTGGTTGAACTAGTCGATCATCAATAGACTCCAAATCACTGTCAATAAATAAATTATTAAAAGAATCGTTCAATTCGTTCGTTCAAAAATAAATGGTGTAGGAGACTCTCTTACATCTTTCCAATCATAAATAAACTGCTTTGGAGTCAAAAATGTCAAAAAAGGGCTTGGTCCGTAGACGAAAAAAAAGAAAAAACGCTGCGGTTTCGAATGGGTTAAAAGACATTCCCGTGCAGAGCCAATATCGCTTGCATCTCGGTTAAAAGGCTTTTCTCGCTCGACGCCGATAGGAGCTGATGGCCTAGTGGATAAGTCGCTTGGTCCCAGAGCCGGGTATCGACCGCTGGCTCAGGTTCGACTTCTGGCTTCTGATTTTTTGAATTCTATTTTGTTTTTCTATTAAAATATTCAATATGGGATAATTCTTTGTAAAACAATTGCAAATTAATAAAATAATTTATTTGCTTAATTGGCACACTTGTAATTTTCACAGCAATAAGCCAATGGCCCCAGAAATCGAATCGACAGGTGCCGTCGCTGGAGTAGAATCGACATCGATTCTAATCAGAAGGCCCACGTTCATCCCCTCTCCGATAGTCTACTTACTCCAGAACTTCAGCGATCCTACTCCAGAAGACGAAAAGCCGAAGGGCAAATCAGAAAACAAAAATCCGACGTTCATCCCCTCTCCGATAGTCTACTTTCCCCTGCGAATTCCTTCCACTTCTTTATTATTTTGTTTATTTGAATCATTCTCTTTTCAGACAAAATATTTGAAGAAAAGGGACGCCGAAGAAAAGTGAAAAAATCGCATTTTCAAAAATAACAATGTTCTATCAACTTGCAATTCTATTTCTAGCAATCACCGTCTATTCTCTCCCTTTCACGCACGTAGAACGAGTGAGCATCAAGGTGAAAATGCAAAGATATTACCGTAACAAGCTACAGTACCCTCGACTCTGGGGTACTGTAGCTGTAGATATCTAGGGGTTACTGTAGTCATCTAGAGGCTACTGTATCCAACTAGGGGTTACTGTAATGATCTAGATCGGCCTTGTGACTTCCAGAACCACCCATGAAACGGTAGAAATGAAGATTTGATGACTTGAAATCAAAATAAAGCCGTGTTCTAAATTGACCTGGTCGAGGGGTAGTAGTTGGGGGCGGTGGGGTACGGTATCTACCTAGATCACCTCTGTCACTTCCAGGACCACCCATGAGATTGTTAAAATGAAGATTTGATGACTTGAAATCGAAATAAAGCCGTGTTCTAAATTGATCAGGTCGAGGGGTAGTAGTTGGGGGCGGAGGGGTACAGTATCAACCTAGATCGACCTTGTGACTTCCAGGACCACCCATGAGATTGTTAAAATGAAGATTTGATGACTTGAAATCGAAATAGAGCCGTGTTCTAAATTAGTCCGGTCGAGGGGGGCGGAGAGCTACTGTATCAACCTAGATCACCTCTGTGACTTCCAGGACTACCTTTAAGCCTTGCTGAACACTTGAAAATAGATTTTTTGAGGGCAAAGTGATTTGCGGTGATCGCTATTCGGTTGGTGTCGGAATTCAACTCTGCGATGGAAGTTCGTTTAGTTTCTTTCTTTCAAATAATCTCTATTTTAAGGTGATTGCCTCGAAAAGGTGACGTCATCGTCACCAAAAGGCGCTTTTCAAGCGTCCGGCAATTGGAGTGTGGTGGGTTGAGGGTGGTTGAGGCCGGTTGAGGCTTTGGAAAAAGATTGGCTCAATATCTTTCTTTCTAGTAGAGGAATTAGGTTGAAAATTTCGGATTACCTTAGTTGGATGTCAACTTAGAAAAGCTATTGATTAGATTTTTGAATTTGAAACTTTCAAGTTTTCATTTTTTTTGTTGAGAGGGTAAAATTTGAAATTTTTTAAATTAAAAATTTGATTTTTATCTAATCGAAAATCTATTTTGTGACTTCCAGATAAGCTAAAAAACTAAATATTTTCAAGATTGGCTCTTTGAAAACGGAGTTAAACTGTTGGAGAAGTTTCTGGAGCTGTAAAGCAATTTGAAGCCAAAAATTTTTGTATCAATCGGTGCCAAATGCTTGTCTTTTAGCTTAGAATGAAATCTCGGTCGGATATAGAACGTCCATAGTACAGAAACGGTGCTTTTTGGGCGCAAATGGGGAATCAGTTTGATCTTTTTCTTTTAGTTTTTCTCGAGCGAGCCTTCTGTGCTCATCACTCACAATTGTGATGTCGAAAATCGAACGGTGAGTGAAGGTCGTGTGCTAATGGGCAGATGGGCAGGCTTTCTTGGCCTCTCTTGGCCTTTCTTGGCCTCTCTTGGCCTTTCTTGGCCTCTCTTGGCCTTTCTTGGCCAAATGGGATCCGTTCGGGTCGAGATTAGTTGGAAGTGGATGAATTCCCGAATTTTTCCACCGATCTGGAGCGCACACTAGCTGAAAAGCTCAAAAAAAGTATCGAAAAAACGATTTTAAAAAAGTCCCTCAGCGGAGTCGAACCATGGATCTATCGTTCACTAAAAATTTGCATAAATCTAAAATCTAAGAACTCTAATGAACTATGTGCGTTCCAGAACTCCCGAAAAGTTTATTAGAGTTTTCGGTTCGCCAAAAAATTCCACCCCTTTCCGGCCTAAACATGATTCACTCGTCTCACTTCGTTTCTTATCAGCTTTGCACAAAACTTTCACAACGATTCCCCGATGTGCCTTCCATAATGGCCGGATATTTCAAAATTTTATCTATTCCATAAATAGTTTTCGAGAAAATCGCTCAAACTCGGATTTTTCCGGATTTAAGTTGGAATTGGATCAATTCCCGAATTTTTCCACCGATCTGGAGCGCACACTAGCTGAAAAGCTCAAAAAAAGTATCGAAAAAACGATTTTAAAAAGTCACTCAGCGGAGTCGAACCATGGATCTATCGTTCACTAAAAATTTGCATAAATCAAAAATCTAAGAACTCTAATGAACTATGTGCGTTCCAGAACTCCCGAAAAGTTTATTAGAATTTTTGGTTTTCAAAGAATTCCGCGCCTTTTTGATCCAAACTCATTTGTCTCACTCCACTCAGTAATTTCATCAACTTTACCCAAAACTTTCACAACGATTCCCCGATGTGACTTCCATAATGGCCGAATATTACAAAATTTTATCTATTCCATAAATAGTTTTCGAGAAAATCACTCAAACTCGGATTTTTCCGGATTGGAATTGGTTGGAAGTTGGAATTAGATGAATTTCTGAATTATTTGATCGATCTGGAGCGCACACTACGTGAAAAGCTCAAAAAATTGTTGATTTTATTGTTTTGAAGATCTTTGGTTTTGGTTTGGATTTTTTTCGGAATTCGGTAACTAAAAAAGCCGATGAAAACCAGTGAAACTTGAAACAATTCCGTTTTCAGAAATGCCTTCGTCAAACGAGATTCCCGATTCACGAATGGTACGTGTTGAAGGAAGAAAATAAATACGACCGAATTTACGATATGAAATTGGTTCAACTAATCGCTCGCCAAGAAAAAGATGAAGATGGCAATGAATCGTGTGAATGATTGTGAAAAATAAACAATGTTCTGAATTTCCCCAGAAGCCTCGTCTCTTGAACCATTCAACGTTATGAAACTCTGGGCACAGTTTCTGATCGCCCTGATCGCCCTGTAATCAAAGTTACCGTGTTACCGTTGTGTAAATGACGGTTGTGCATTCTAGTTCTTCGATTCGAAGCCGTTTGGCCGAGCTGTTCGATGTTTGAGAGCTAGAACATCGAGCCTATATTCTAACAATGTTCTAGCTCTCAAACATCGAACAGCTCGGCCAAACGGCTTCGAATTCAAGAACTAGAATGCACAACAATCATTTACACAACGGTCAGCCTGTAAATTTGATTACAGGGTGTTCCGTTGACGAGTGAAACGCTTGTTTTGTTTGCTTTGAGAAGCCTATATTCTAAATCGTGCATAAGCCGGTGTGCGCTCCAGATCGCTGAAATATTGGCCATTTCCGAATCCTTGATCAATCTGTGAGGATTTTTGGCGCCAATCTTGAAACCCATCAACATCATCTCGTTTTCTGAGTGGCCACCCAGCTCATTTTGGGATTTTAGCGATTTTGGCGATTCTGGCGATTTTGGCGATTTCCAAATCCCAGATAGCTCGAGTTTAAGAAGCGCTCAGCAAAAACGAAGAATGGATTCTGATTCCCCATTCTACAACACCCGCTTGGTCTCATCTCAAAGCTCAAGGCTGACCTTAAGCCTTCCATTGTGGGGTAAAACAGGAGCTGCGACTTCAGCTACTCGCCTTCAGCTGCCTATAATCGCTTGCTTATTTTGAGCTTGAGCTTGAGCTTGAGCCTGAGCTTGAGCCTGAGCCTGAGCTAAGAGTCGTCTAGCGTACTATTACATTTCAAATGGAAAATTTGACAACTATTTTAAACGCACTTAGCTCAGTTGCTCACTATTGCGTAATTGAACCGAACCTTTCGAAACCGGTTTTCCTAAACAAATCCCTTTTCTAATGCCATTGTTTTGCCTTGTGACTTCCAGCTTAATGATTGGCAACACTCAAACGACGACCGCTGGATTTGGTCGACCAGATCGGCCAGCTCACTACTGCGTAATTGAACCGAACCTTTCGAAACCGGTTTTCCTAAACAAATCCCTTTTCTAATGCCATTGTTTTGCCTTGTGACTTCCAGCTTAATGATTGGCAACACTCAAACGACGACCGCTGGATTTGGTCGACCAGATCGGCCAGCTCACTACTGCGTAATTGAACCGAACCTTTCGAAACCGGTTTTCCTAAACAAATCCCTTTTCTAATGCCATTGTTTTCCCTTGTGACTTCCAGCTTGAAGATTGGCTACAATTAAAAGACGACCGCTGGATTTGGTCGACCAGATCTACCAGCTCAGTACTGCGTAATTGAACCGATTTTTTCAAAACCTTTCAAATCTCTCTTCTAATGCCACTATTTTGCCGTGTGACTTCCAGCTTAAAGCCTGCTTCTATCAAAAGTAAAGTTTCTTTGAGAAATCTCGACAAAAAGTGTCAGTGAAGTGTGAGCCTGCGTAACGAAACCGAAAGGGCGCTTCGAAAGGTCGAAATATCCGTTTTGACCGGAATTCAAGACGATCTGCACAATGAGAAATGGTGGGAAGTGTTCAGAGATCTTTATCCAAATCCTTGATCAATCTGTGAGGATATCTGGCGCCAATTCTGAAGACAATCCCTCTGGCGGATGGCTTTTCTTGATAAATTCATTCAATTTGCATTTAGAGTCATGGATTGTTTGATGTGCCTTCCAGATAGCCCAGATTTTGTCGATTTCTAGCTCTCGAACCGATTTGATGAGAATTAATTCGTTGATTCGCTCTTCCCCTAAATTTTTTCCGATTTAAGTCGTAATTCGACCAATTCCCGAATTCTTCCACCGATCTGGAGCGCACACTAGCTGAAGCGCTCAAAAAAAGTATCGAAAAAACGATTTTAAAAAAGTCACTCAGCGGAGTCCGAACCATGGACCTATCGCTCACTAAAAATTTGCATAAATCCAAAATCTAAAAACTCTAATGAACTGTGTGCGTTCCAGATCTCCCGAAAAGTTTATTAGAATTTTTGGTTTTCAAAGAATTCCGCGCCTTTTTGATCCAAACTCATTTGTCTCACTACACCCAGTCATTTCATCAACTTTACCCAAAACTTTTGCAACGATTCCCCGATGTGACTTCCATAATGGCCGAATATTTCAAAATTTTATTCACTCCATAGATAGTTTTCGAGAAAATCACTCAAACTCGGATTTTTTTTTTTTTTTTGAAAGATAAACGATTTTCTAGCTCTCAAACAATAAACAGCTCGGCCAAACGGCTTCGAATCGAAGAATTCGAATTCGAATCCCGATTTGAATTCGAACTAGAGTGCACAACAGTGATTTGAACTTTGATTACAGGGTAATCAAGAACCACCGCAACACGCAAAAGGCCTGGCTTTTGCTCTGGCTTCAAGAACACTCCAGACTGAGTAATCGAATGGGTGAAGATCGGGTGAGCTGGGTGGCCACTCAGAAAACGAGATGATGTTGATGGGTTTCAAGATTGGCGCCAAAAATCCTCACAGATTGGTCAAGGATTTGGAAATGGCCAATATTTCAGCGATCTGGAGCGCACACCGGCTTATGCACGATTTAGAATATAGGCTCGATGTTCTAGCTCTCAAACATCGAACAGCTCGGCCAAACGGCTTCGAATCGAAGAACTAGAATGCACAACCGTCATTTACACAACGGTAACACGGTAACTTTGATTACAGGGCGATCAGGGCGATCAGAAACTGTGCCCAGAGTTTCATAACGTTGAATGGTTCAAGAGACGAGGCTTCTGGGGAAATTCAGGACTTTGTAGACCTTGCCGCTTGATCCAACAGTAGCCGCAGCCTGGGAATGAGAAAAATTGAATCTTCGCCTCCTATATCCGAGCGGTGTGCTAGACGGCGGGCGATTGCCGCACAGAGAACAGCTTCGGTGATTCGCTCTTCCCCCCGGGTTTTTTTCGGGATTTAAGTTGGAATTCGACCGATTCCTGAAATCTTCCACCGATCTGGAGCGCACACTAGCTGAAACGCTCAAAAAAAGTATCGAAAAGACGATTTGAAAAATCTCGTCACTCAGCGGAGTCGAACCAGGGACCTATCGCTTACTAAAAATTTGCATAAATTTCAAAATCTAAAAACTGCAATGAACTATGTGCGTTCCAGATCTCCCGAAAAGTTTATTAGAGTTTTTGGTTTTCAAAGAATTCCTCGCCTTTTTGATCCAAACTCATTTGTCTCACTCCACCCAGTCATTTCATCAACTTTACCCAAAACTTTTGCAACGATTCCCCGATGTGCCTTCCATAACGGCCGGAGATTTCAAAATTTTATCTATTCCATAAATAGTTTTCGAGAAAATCGCTCAAACTCTTCCCAAAGCTCCGCCCACTTTTTTTTCTCGATTTTCGCCTATTCTTACCCTTTTCACTCTTAAATCTTTCAAAGATTTCAACTTTGAAATTCGAAAATTAAAATTTTTCACATTTTCAGCAATGTTTCAACATTTTCCTGTGAGAAAAACGAAATTTACACTTTTTTTGCTCTTTATGGTGAGTGTTTTTCCGAGTTGTTGCTGATTTTTTTGAAAAAATTTGTTAGCCTGCTTAATTTTTGGCATTTTTGTGAGTTCTGGAGTGCACATGAAGCATTGAATTCAAAATTGCTGAGAAAATTAGCATTTAATCATGCTACCGTACCCCAGATCGTGATCTCACTTTTATATCTTGTTCGGCTAAAGCTTTTCGAAAATTTCTTTGATATTCTTGCGATCTGGAGGTCACACAACAATCTAGATAGAAAAAATGGATTAGGCTGGTGATTTTTATTTTGTGACCAAACTACAGTACCCCCGACCCCGATCTTGCCTTAAAATCGTGTTCGATTTAGGCTTTACAAAAATTTCTTTGATATTCTTGCGATCTGGATGTCACACAACAATCTGGATAGAAAAAATGGTTTAAATTGGTCATTTTTATTTTGTGACCAAACTACCGTACCCCCTAACCGTGATCTCGCTTTTATATCTTGTTCGGCTAAGCCTTTTCGAAAATTTCTTTGATATTCTTGCGATCTGGATGTCACTCAACATTCCAGACATTAAAAGATATCGAAAAAACTGATTTAGCTGGTCATTTTTATTTTGTGACCAAACTACCGTACCCCTAACCGTGATCTCGCTTTTATATCTTGTTCGGCTAAGGCTTTTCAAAGATTTCTTTAATATTCTTGCAATCTGGATGTCACACAACAATCTGGATCAAAAACGGATTAGGCTGGTCATTTTTATTTTATGACCAAGCTACCGTACCCCTACATAGACGTAGCAACAAATTGCTTAAATTTTGAAAATTTCAAAGCAGAGACTCCCTTTTCGCGCTAGTGGAAAGCGACGAAATTTTACGAGCGCTCGTAATTTACCCAAAAACGACACGGCGGCCTCGGTGTTGTGGATTTTTCGTCGCTGCGCGCTTTTTCTCGTTTTCGATTCGACTCGCCGCCGAAACAAAAGATTTATTCGTCAAAGCTGGAACGCACTCGAGCCGTTTTCGAAAAGAAAACAAAGATTTTCGACCTTTTTGATTCGTCAATAGTACAGTGTAGTCGATAATTTTGAAATTCTCAAATTCTCATTTTTTGCTATTTTTAGCTAGGCTGCATTCCAGAACGGGCATAAATTTTAAAAAATCTCAAAAATTTTGCGAATTTCCCAAATTTACGAGCTTGGTCAGCATTTTTCCAAAAGCATGCCTCGTTTTTGAGTCAGAAAAAAGCGAAAAACGGGGAAATGATTAAAAACTCTTATCAGGATTGAAATGGAAAATTTGGCGAGAAATCTGGCGCCTGGTGGGGTGTTAAGATAGGGTGTTAAGGGGTGGACGGGGCCGGGGTGGCGATTACCACAAGGATTTGAGGGGAGGACCGAAAGGCGGGGAAATGGCATGCTTTTGCGAAACTAAACTTTTGAGAAACCAGTGTGACCTCCAGGATTCACGAAAATATAATAAAAATCGTAGTATGATAATCGAAATCGTGAAAAAATCGCCTGGTAGCCGATAGAGCATTCGAGAGTTCGGAAATCATAGTTTTTTTCGATCTAAAGCCTTAAGAAGCCGGTGTGACTTCCAGGATTCACAAAAATATAAAAAAATCGTAGTATGATAATCGAAATCGTGAAAAAATCGCCTGGTAGACGATGGAGCATTCGAGAGCTTAGAAATCGTAGTTTTTTTCGATCTAAAGTTTTGAAAACCCAGTGTGACCTCCAGGATTTACAAAAATTCAGAAAAAAATATCAAACAGTGAAAAATTTACATAAAAATCTCGACCAAAAATCTCATTCAGCGGAAAATCAGATTACGGTAAACGGTCCAAAAAAACATTTCACGTATTAGAAACGCTAATGTGCACTCCAGAACTCGCAAAAAGCGACCAAAAGCTGGAGTTTCATATGCAAATTATTTAGATATACGCTGGGACAACAATCGGACATCAGACAGGTCTAAGAGAATGGTCAAATTCGATAAAATTCGTTTCTCTAGATTGCCAGTGCGTGCCAGAGTCGACGATTTCGCAAACGAAACGCGAAATGGAGGAGTTTTTGCGTGGGAATTTGTTGAAGTTACGAAATTCGGCAAGAAATTTGCGACATTCTACTAAAGGTGAGCGAAATTAGCATTTAAACCGAAAATTAGCATTTAAAGTGGAAATTAGCATTTAAGGCATTCAAAATTAGCATTTAAAGCGTAAATTACCATTTAAACTGGAAATTAGCATTTAAACTGGAAATTACCATTTAAAGCTAGCAAAATTAGCATTTAAACCAAAAATTGGCATTAAAATCAAAAATTAGCATTTAAATCAAAAATTAGCATTTAAAGCGGAAATTACCATTTAAACCGGAAATTACCATTTAAAGCTAGCAAAATTAGCATTTAAATCCAAAATTACCATTTAAAGCATTCAAAATTAGCGTTTGAAGCGTAAATTACCATTTAAACTGGAAATTACCATTTAAAGCTTGAAAAATTAGCATTTAAACCGAAAATTGGCATTAAAATCAAAAATTAGCATTTAAATCAAAAATTAGCATTTAAACCGGGAATTAAATGCTTCTAAATCAAAAATTAGCGTTTAAATCAAAAATTAGCATTTAAAGCGGAAATTACCATTTAAACCGAAAATTACCATTTAAAACAAAAGGTAATTTTTGAGTTTCTAGCTTGTGTTTCAAGATTGCCAAAATTTCAATTTAAAGCTTTTTATTCGAATTTTTGAGTCTTGTGACATCCAGCATCGGCAAAACATTTCAGAAGAACTCTCCGAAACGCTGATTTTCTCGCGACATCGCGTTCTGAAAGAAATCCGACGAGTGCACGAGTCGCTTTTAAATGGGAATTTCGTTGTTGGACCGATTTCCGAATTCTTTAACGATTTGCGGATGCAAGCGCTTGACGTCAAGGTGGGCTTTGTGCTTAAAGCCAGGTTCAAAAACTGATGACTCTGGTTTTCCACTTACCTCCAGGAATTTGAGGGACTCGTTTTTGAGGTCAGAAATCAAGGCTGACCTCGCTGCAGTCTGGTACAAGAACTTGTTGACAAGGTTTGCAGTAAAGCCAGGCAAGTGCAGAAGTAAAGCAAAGCAAAGCGAAGACCTGGATTGGCTCGGATGCCAAGAGTAGTCTCGGCTTGGCTCGGGTGCCCGGATTTTTTCAGTCTGAGAGATTTTGGGCGGATTTTAAATGCAAATTTTATTTTTTTTAAAAAGTAAATGCTAATCTGGATGTCATTTAAGCTTTTCGTTGTTTTAGAAGAATGATTTTACTCATTTCTGAAAAATTCGGTTTCGAGGTTGAGATTTTGAGGGATTTTGGGTGGGTTTTCAAGGCAAATTTTGTTTTTTTAATGAAGCAAATGCTAATCTGGATGTCATGTAAGCTTTTCGTTGTATTGGAAAAACGATTTTACTCATCTTGAAAAAAGTCACTTTTCAAGGCTAAGACTCTGAGGGATTTTGAGCGGTTTTTAAATGCAAATTTTGTTTTTTTAAAAACCAAATGCTAAACTGGATGTCATATTAGCTGTTCATTGCGTTAGAAAAGCGATTTTACTCATTTCCAAAAAAGTCAGTTTTTGAGGTTGAGATTTTGAGCGATTTTGGGCGGATTTTAATGGCAAATTTTGTTTTTTAAAAAACCAAATGCTAATCTGGATGTCATATTAGCTGTTCATTGTGTTAGAAAAGCGATTTTACTCATTTCAAAAAAAAAGTCGACTTTCCTTGTCTCTGACCCTGATCTGGCCACTGGCTTGCGATCTGCTCTTGACCAGGCTTGACCTAGTTGTCTTGCATTGACTGGCCGGATCTGGTCTAGCCTGATCCTGGGCTGGCCCTGGTCTAGTCTTGGCGTGATTCGGTCTGGCTTGGGACGGGGCGGGTTTGGGGGGGGGGGGTGGGGGGGGGGGGGGGGGGGGGGGGGGGGTTGGGGGGGGGGGCCCCCCCCCCCCCCCAGAATTATGGGGAATAATTGGGGGGGCGCAGCCTTTAAAAGAACGGTATTTTAAAGTCTCCTGGGCTACGATTCAGTTGAATTTCTCTACACAATCTCTACACAAAGAACTCGTTGACGAGCTCGTTGAATTTGCAGCTCTCCTCAGCTGGCTCGTGGGAATCGTTCCTTCACTCCCGGCTCTCCTCCCTCTTCTCCCAACTTTTCCCCTCGGTTTTCCTCTGCATGTCCTTCTCGTTTTGTCCGCCAAGACACGAGCATCACTATGTGAAATGTCTGCGAGAGGTTTCATTTCAGAATTGACCGCAAAATCAAAGTTTTCAGCTCGCCAACGATCTTCAATCGAAACTGTTCAACGGTGGAAAGCTCAGCAAAGCCATTAAGGAGTGAGTGTTGGAGGAAATTAAAAAATTTTATGAATTTCGAGAATCCTGGGGCGCACAAGGGGGGATTACTTATGAAAGTTGGCAAGATTTTTTTAAATCAGAAAACGGGAATGTCGAGGCTGAGATTTTGAGAGGTTTTCTGCGGTTTTTCAAAGTTTTTAAATTCAAATCTTAACAGTAATCGCTAATCTGGATGTCATGTAAGCTTTTCGTTGTGTTAGAAAAACAATTTTATTGCTTTCAAAAAGTCGATTTTTGAGGTTGAGACTCTGAGGGTTTTTGGGCGGATTTTAAATGCAAATCTTGTTTTTTTAGAAAGCTAATGCTAATCTGGATGTCATGTAAGCGTGTTCATTGTGTTAGAAAAACGATTTTGCTCATTCCTGAAAAATTCGGTTTCGAGGTTGAGATTTTGAGGGTTTTTGAGCGGATTTTAAATGCAGATTTTGTTTTTTAAGAAAGCTAATGATAATCTGGATGTCATGTAAGCGTTTCATTGTGTTAGAAAAACGATTTTGCTCATTTCTGAAAAATTCGGTTTCGAGGTTGAGATTTTGAGGGTTTTTGGGCGGATTTTAAATTCAGATTTTGTTTTTTTATAAAATCAAATGCTAATCTGGATGTCATGTTAGCTGTTCATTGTGCTAGAAAAACAATTTTACTCATTTCAAAAAAAGTCTGTTTTTGAGGTCGAGACTCTGAGGGTTTTTGGGCGGTTTTTCAATGCAAATTTTGTTTTTTAAAAAAGCAAATGCTAATCTGGATGTCATGTAGGCTTTTCGTTGTGCTAGAAAAACGATTCTACTCATCTTGAAAAAAGTCACTTTTCAAGGCTAAGACTCTGAGGGTTTTTGGGCGGATTTTAAATGCAAATTTTGTTTTTTTATAAAATCAAATGCTAATCTGGAGGTCATGTAAGCTTTTCATTGTGTTAGAAAAACGATTTTACTCATTTCTAAAAAAAGTCGGCTTTCCCTTGATCTCCTAAGAAAATTCTCGACTTGTCACCCCCAATTTCCATAAATGAGAACATGTTTTTCTAGAAAAAATGAAATTTTGATAAGAACAGGGCGATTCACTAATTAGATTAGTCGATTAGGCGATGATATGGCGGCGAGAGAGCGGGTGAGAGAACTAGTGTTCCCCGGAAAGGCCGACAGTGACAAAGAGAAAAGAGTTCGCGCCGAGAAACACCGATTTCTCGCGCTTGTCCCGAGATTTTCTTTTCGAAACGCCTGATCTGGATGTCACGCAAGCGAAGGGGTGGGAAAGAAATTTGAATTGGGGACGAATAATTTTTTGAGTTTCTGGAGTTGGGTAATTGATCCAAAAATTCGAACAAAAATTGAATCCATTAAAAAAAAGCTTTGGAAAGTTCACTGTGCGTTCCAGAACGGCCAACCATTTCTCGAAAGTCGTCCATTTGTTAAAAACCTTGTCCCAAATCGAGTCGCTCATCTCCGCCGATTCGCTCGACTCGCGCATCTCGCCCCACTGCGGGCAACGAATGGCCGAGGTGACTCGGTGCCCGCCATGTCACACAAAAGGCATTAAATATTGTCGGTGAGTTGAGTTCTAAAGCTTAAAACCGCTCGATCAGATTCTTCGTGGAATTAGTGCAATTCTAAGCTGAAAAAAGTGAAATTTCGCAGTGAATCGTGTCTCGATGGAGTCCACGGATGCTTGGGGAATCTGTCGGACGAGTGGAATCGACACGTGCGATCGGTGGCTTATTATAAACAGGCGCTGAGTGGAGAGTTCGTGGTGGTGGGTTGAAATCTCAAAGCTGGCAGGACTTTGGTGGGTCAATAGCCGGGTTAAGCCAGGGTCAAGCCAGGCCAAGCAGTCTAGGGGCCAAGCAAGCAATCTAGGGCCCAAGCAACCAGCCAGGCAGTCTAGGGGCCAGGGCAACCAGCCAAGCAGTCTAGGGGCCAAGCAACCAGCGAAGCAGCCTAGGGGCCAGACAACCAGCAAAGCAGTCTAGGGCCCAAGCAACCAGCCAGGCAGTCTAAGGGCCAGGCAACCAGCCAAGCAGCCTAGGGCCCAAGCAACTGGGGGGCCAGGCAACCGGTCTAGGGTCAAGTCTAGGGTCAGGCCAAGGTCAGGGTGAAGCCAGGATCAAGCTAGCCCAAGTTGTCCAGCCATGAGCCAAGGATCAGAGCAAGCTAAGAAGCTGAACCAGGATACCTTAGCGAGCATCTTGGTCAAGTTATTGTCAAGCCAGTCCAGGGTAACGATAAGTGAAGCAAGACCAAGCTAGATCAGCACCAGGCTAGATCAGAATACAGGGTACGCCAAAAGAAGAGTTCTATCTTTTAACTTTCCATTTCTATCTCCTGGGGATGGCGCAGCGCCGTTTAACTTTGGAATTAGAAACCCGGGTTCGATCCCGTCTCTGGGAGCTGGGCCAGGTTGAACCAGGTTGAAGGTCCAACCGGGAGACCAGGTCCAACCAGGAGACCAGGTTCAACCGGGAGACCAGGTCAACCGGGAGACCAGGTTCAACCGGGAGACTAGGTCCAACCAGGAGACCAGGTCCAACCGGGAGACTAGGTCCAACCAGGAGACCAGGTTCAACTGGGAGACCAGGTCCAACCGGGAGACCAGGTCCAACCGGGAGATCAGGTCCAATCGGGAGACCAGGTCAAATGCGAGAAACCTATCCAGCCAAACCCTACTCTTATTGGACGATCGTCTTTGGATCCAGGGATCGTCTAAGAAGAGTAGGGAAGTCACAGAACTTTTGGCGAACCCTTTATAACAATTCTAGCTCGAAGACGCCCTGATTGACTCATTCGCTCACGCTGGTGACCATTCATTGCATCAAGTGGCTCAAGAAATCGTTAAAAGGTCGGATTTTTGTAATCATAAACAGAATAGGGGCAAAATAATCAAATAATCAAAAAAAAAAAGCCAATCCAGCTTTCCAGGGAAACAAGCAAAGCCTTTCCTTATAACTTTTCTTGTTTCAATGTGATTCAAACAAACTCCAAACGATAAAGGCTCGCAATTGAGGTTCGAAATTTCAGTTGTGGCCCACTATCGCCTCACCAGCACACCCAACTGCATTCCGGGAAGAACGCGAAGACAAAGTTCGACCCGCCAAGTGCTCTCTCGTCGAAAGCTTTTGATCTGGCGAACAAGGTTTGTTTCAAGGTCATAAAAGCTCTCGCTTTTTACAGCAAATGCTAATCTGGAGGTCATGTAAGCTTTTCATTGTACTAGAAAAACAATTTTACTCATTTCTGAAAAATTCGGTTTCGAGCTTGAGATTTTGAGAGGTTTTGGAAGGATTTTAAATGCAAATTTTGTTTTTTTATAAAATCAAATGCTAATCTGGATGTCATTTAAGCTTTTCATCGTACTAGAAAAACGATTTTACTGATTTTAAAAAAAGTCGATTTTCGAGGTGGAGACTCTGAGAGATTTTGGGCGGATTTTAAATGCAAATTTTATTTTTTTAAAAAAGTAAATGCTAATCTGGATGTCATGTTAGCTGTTCATTGCGTTAGAAAAGCGATTTTACTCATTTCCGAAAAATTCAGTTTTTGAGGTTGAGATTTTGAGGGGTTTGGGGCGGTTTTTAAATGCAAATTTTGTTTTTTTATAAAAGCAGATGCTAATCTGGATGTCATATTAGCTTTTCATTGTATTAGAAAAGCGATTTTACTCATCTTGAAAAAAGTCACTTTTCAAGGCTAAGACTCTGAGGGATTTTGGACGGATTTTAAATGCAAATTTTACTTTTTTTAAAAAATCAAACGCTAATCTGGAGGTCATATTGGCTTTTCGTTGTGTTAGAAAAACGATTTTACCTATTTCCAAAAAAGTCGGCTTTCCTTTGATCTCCAAACAACAACCACTAATTTCGTTTCAAATTCTGACTCCAATTGTGTAGATCTGCTCGAATTGTTTCAGTTTCTTCTCTACGAGAACTTCTGGCTTCGCGAGGGGAGTCGATTGTGCGGGGAATGGTCGACGGAGGAGCGGTGCTGGAATGGGAAACGATTGGTTGGGACGTGAGTTTGTGTCGGTGGCCACCATCGATCCCTCGCCGCTCGAATCTCCTTTTTTAAGTCGATACGGTCCAATCTGGATGTCACGCTATCTATCGGGGAAAAAACGGGCACGACTTTCAACAAAAATCAAAGTCAATCAAAATCAAGTCAGACTTTTTTGATGAAAAAAAACGGCTCTGAAAACTCCGATTGATCGTCGGGTGTGATAAATTTTGTTTTTAAGAGAATCCTCGCCGTTTTTTTCGCTTTAAATGAGTCAGAAAGGGATGTTTTTGATGGTTTTTTTTTTATTTTTTTTTGTTCGCTCTGGGCAAGAAATTTTTGAATTAAACGCAAAAATGAAGAAATGAAAAAAGGAGAAAGATTGGTTAAAATTGAGTGTATTTGATGCTGTGCGTGCCAGATCGAGCTTTGATGGAGTGGGACTTTCGAAAACCCTCTCCTGGCCCCTGTTTTGTCGGGGTAGAGTTGGGCAAGTGCTGGAGTGGTTTCGGAAATTTTGCTGGAATCGCTGGAATGGCCGAAAAATCCTGTAGCTGGTTCTGTGCGTGCCAGATTGAACATTGATGGAGTGAGATTTTCGAAAACCCTCTCCTGGTAGCTGTTTTGTCGGAGTAGAGCTGGGCAAGTGCTGGAAATTTCGGAAATTTTGCTAGAATCGCTGGAATCGCTGAAAAATCCTATAGCTAGTGCTGTGCGTGCCAGATCGAGCTTTGATGGAGTTGGATTTTCGAAAACCCTCCCCCGGCACCTGTTTTGTTGGAGTAGAGCTGGCAAGTGCGGGCAATTTCGGAAATTTTGCTGGAATCGCTGAAAAAGTCCCCAAAACCCTGTAGCTGGTGCTGTGCGTGCCAGATTGAACATTGATGGAGTGGGAGTTTTGAAAACCCTCCCCTAGTACCTGTTTTGTCGGAGTAGAGCTGGGCAAGTGCTGGAGTGATTTCGGAAATTTTGCTGGAATCGCTGGAATCGCTGAAAAATCCGCAAAATCCTGTAGCGTGACATCCAGGATGGTTTCCAGAATCAAAAACTTCCAAAAAATATCATCTAGAGACCTGGGGATGTGGGGGTAAGTTTCAGCACTAAGCTGCTTAGGCTGATTTTGTAAATTTTGCTGAAATCGCTGAAATACTCACAGAAACTCATAGCGTGACATCCAGAATAAATGATTTTATCAAAAATTCCTGAATTACCGCTTTGGAAACAAATTTTTCTCGGTCAGTCCCCGATAAAACTTGAAAAACAGCGATTGAATGCAAATTTCTAGCTTTTCTCGTTTTTCACTCGTCTTTTTTTCTTTTTTTTGCTTTTTTCCCATTTCCCGGATCGTTTCGCCACCTTTTGCTCAACTTGGAAAAAAGAGAAAAACGTCGAAAGTGCGAAAAGACCCCTGCAAACTTTCACTTAAGAATCTATACTTTCAGCGTTTGATTCAAGAATTCTGAAACCGATTTTTGGCAGTCCTGGATGTCACTAGATATAAATCCAATGTTAAATCCTGGATTTCTCATCTTTTTTCATCTCTCAAAACCTAGAAATGAGTTTGCCGCTAAATCGAGCTTAATCTTTTGCCTCAGAAAATTTCAAAACGATTTTTGGCAGTCCTGGATGTCACTACATATAAATCCAATGTTACATCTTGAACTTCTCACCTTTCTTTCATGTCCAAAACCTAGAAATGAGTTTGCCGCTAAAACGAGCTCAATAGTGTGCTTCAGAAATTTTCAAACTGATTTTTAGCAGTCCTGGATGTCACTACAAATAAATCCAATCTCAAATCCTGGATTTCTTGCCTTTTTTTCATGTTCAAAACCTAGAAATGAGTTTGCCACCCAAACGAGCTCAATATTCTGCTTCAGAAATTTTCAAACCGATTTTCAGCAGTCCTGGATGTCACTACACCTAAATCCAATCTCAAATCCTGGATTTTCCAATTTTTCGACAACTCCCAAGCACCCAAACGAGTTCCCCGGCCGCAATTTCTCACCCACAGCACCTAGAACCCTAAAAACTTTGCATTGCCCTTCCTGGATGTCACTTGAACCCTTTCACCGACCCTCGTTTCTTTTCCGTCTCTTTTTCCCAACGCTGCCTACCCCCAGCCCCTCCCCCTCCCTCGATTCCAATTTTGCCACCGTTTCCCCTCGTCTTCTCCCGCTAACAGCCACTTTTTTTGCCGATGTGGCCCAATCTGGATGTCACCCTATCAATTCCGCTAATTTTCTTTGCCTTTCTCGGCGTTTCTGCGGAGTGAGTTTTAAATGCAAATTTTTAAATGTAAACTTGCGAATCAATGCAAAATCTAAAAAATCACGAAAATTAGCATTTAACTTAAAAATGGTTTCAGAATGAAATTTGCCAATTTTCAGCTCACCGCACCTGATGGCGTTGACGAAAAACGTCGGTCCGTCGGATGTGGACTCGGCGCCACGGCGGTTGATCCCGTTCGCTGATCAGGTGATTAGAAAATTTTCGGCAAGCTAGCGAAGGCTTTCGAAGGACTAAGGACCTATTTTTACAAAGTAATTCGTTATTTTTTGCGATTTTCGGCCAATCTGGATGTCATGTAACTGATTTGTCTCAAAATTAAATGGAAATTTTCGATTTGGAAAGTTTTGAGCGAGCCAGCGAAGTCTTTCGAAGCACTAGGGACCCATGTTTACAACGTAATTCGTTATTTTTTGGGATTTTCGGCCAATCTGGATGTCATGTAAACGATTTGTCTCAAAATTAAATGGAAATTTTGAGTTTTGAAAATTTTGAACAATATTTGTCTCAAAATGCAAATTTCCAAAAAATCACAAAATTTTCGTCTCTCTTTTCACTCACTTCAACTCGTTGTTTTCATCAAAAAAAACTCAATTTTCTTATCTTTCTCGCTTTTCCCATTTCCTTTCTACTCGACTCCTTTACAACTTTTACAATCTAAGTCAAGCGGTTCAAAGAAAAAGGGAATGCCGTAAAAATTTGGGATTTTTAAGGGAAATCGGTTTTTCTGAAATCGAAAATCGGCTATCTGGACGTCACTAGAAAAGAATTTAATCACAAAAAAATAAAAATATTCTTTTAAATTGATTAAAATTTCGGTGGGCTTAAATGCAAATTTTTGAAAAACCGGAATTTTTAAATGCAAATTTTCAAAAAACCTGAATTTTTAAATGCAAATTTTTTGAAAAACCGGGATTTTTAAATGCAAATTTTTTAAAAAACCGGGTTTTTAAATGTAAATTTGCCAAAAACCTGAATTTTTAAATGTAAATTTTTAAATGCAAATTTTTCCAGAAAACCTGAATTTTTAAATGCAAATTTTTGAAAAACCTGGATTTTTAAATGCAAATTTTCCTCAAAAAACCTGGATTTTTAAATGCAAATTTTCTGGACTTTAAATCGTTAGACATTCCGAATGAGTTCCATAATTGGCAAAATCGGTGAAAAATTTCGAGTTCCGGCTCTAATTACCGCCATAAAGAGGCCCATTCCAGTGTGTCGAGGTCGGTCCGGTGAAATTGATTCTATGAATTTTCTAGCTTTCGGGATTTGTAGTGTGACATCCAGATGGCTGGCTTCAGCTTCTAAAACTCGAGCTCGATGCGATTTTTTGAGAGATTTTCGCATCTTCAAGAATCTCCTAGCTCGTTGTCGGAGTCGGTCATCCGAGTGATTCCTTTTTTGTCAATTTTCACGCTAACTAGCGCTTTTTCCTCATTCTTTTCGTACGGGAGTCATTTTTTTTCAAAAACCAGTGAGCATATAAAAAGGGGGAAACGGGTAACTCATCCGAAACACAATATGATCGTCGGTTTGGAGTTGCTCGGCATTTAGCCTCTCTAAATTGATCTAATATCGATTTTAAAAGATATTCAGCTAAGCTGGATGTCACTAGATATATTGCACTTATTTTTACCGTAGTTTATCAACTTTACAAGCCTTGAGTTTCAGACACTTACCTGTCCGGCTTAGTTTGACCGCTCTACAATATGCCAGCTCACTTTTTAAAAGATATTCAGCCAAGCTGGATGTCACCATAGATAATGCACTCATTTTTACCGTAGTTTATCAACTTTACGAGCTTTGAGTTTCAGGCACTTACCTGTCCGGCTTAGTTTGACCGCTCTACAGCATGCCAGGCCATTTTTTAAAAGATATTCAGCCAAGCTGGATGTCACCAGAGATAATGCGCTCATTTTTACCGTAGTTAGACACCTTCTCAAAATTCGGCGTTTTCCACTCTTTCCTGTCCGGCCAAGTTTGACCGCTTTACAACATGCCAGGCCACTTTTAAAAAGATATTCAGTCAAGCTGGATATCACTAAGCCTCACTAGACATATTTTACCGCTTTTCGTCGTACTTCATCAATTCCCCTTTCCACTGCTGTTTGGAGTAGGGTCTGCTGACAAATTGCTGTTTTTGCCGTTTTAGCCATTCCCCTCTTTCCCCGTGCGCTCCAGATTTGACGTGAAACATATTCAAACTTTTCCCAGGGGTCATTTCGGCTTTTCTTCAAGGGATTAGAGTTTTTTCCGTTTTTTCCAGCTCTTCAGCTAGGTTTTGGGAATTCTGTGAAAAGAAAGCACTTATAGTCTCGGAAAAACTCGAGAAAACCTTGAAAACCTTCAAAAAAGGAACCGGAACGAATTCCAAAATGCCAGCTGAGAGGATTTCGCTGCAAAGTTTTCATACCTGGTTGATCCTGAAATTTCTTCACCGATAATGTAAGAAAGCAAGCCATGCCGAATTGTGGTTTAAGCTGATCTATTCTTCTAGAAATCTCATGTGACATCCAGCTTAAAGCCTGAGTAACTCAATTTTTAATTTATAAGCTTCATTTAAAAGATATTCAGCCAAAGTCGAAAGCTGGTCTAGCACTCTGAAAGAAAACATGCCCAAGCTGATCTATTATTCTAGAAATATCATGTGATATCCAGCTTATAGCCTGAGTAGCTTAACTTTTAAATTTGAAGCTTCATTTAAAAGATATTCAGCCAAAGTCGAAAGCTAGTCTAGTACTTTGAAAGAAAACATTTTCCATTAAGAAAATCCCATTTCTGTCGATTTTTTTCGACTTCCTGCCTTCCAGAATCGACATTGGTGCCAGGTGGAGCTAGATTCGAATGGCCGAGGCTAGGGAATCCCTAGGGGTTTCGCTGTTTCGCTCGAGGAGTCCGATCCGTGTACCCCCCGCTTTCCACGGCAATTCCCCCACTACCCCGATCTCTTTTCACTCTTTTTTGGCTTCCTGGAGCGCACTAGGAAGAATAATGGCGAAACGAGGCGATGAAAAGTGAAATGACGCTTTTGTCTTTTTCGTTTTCGACTTTCTCTCCAAACTCATCGACTTGCTAATTTCGGGAAACGGATCCGAAAAGTTTAAACTAGAGAAAGTCGAAAGCGTTTCTGAAAGGTTTTTGGAACGTTTCTGGAACTGGGAAAGTTACTGGGAAGGTTACTGGAACTGGGAAAGCGACTGGGAACGTTTCTGGAACTGGGAAAGTTACTGGGAACGTTTCTGGAACTGGGAAAGCGACTGGGAACGTTTCTGGAACGCTACTGGGAAAGTTATCGCTTCAAAAAGCCGAAAATGTGTCAAAATTTCCGCAAACTTTTCCTGATTTAGTTACCCAACCAATTTCTCATTGTTCTGACCACTACTGTCCTTCCAAAATTGAATAAAATGCAATTCTGGAACGCACAAGGAGCCATTGGGAAAGTTAGAGCTTGAAATCGTGAAAGATTTCGGCAAACTTTTCCTGGTTTAGTTACCCTACCATTTTCTCATTGTTCTGACCACTACTGTCCTTCCAAAATTGAAGAAAATGCGATTCTGGAACGCACAAGAGCTATTAGGAAAGTTAGAGCTCAAAATCTGAAAAAAAATTTCGACAAACTTTTCCCGGTTTAGTCACCCAAAATACCAAAAATGCAAATTTCAATATTTTCAAATTTCTAGCTAAGCGACGATCCAATTCGACGGGTGGAGGGCTCCTTTTTCCCATTTAATTCCGATGACGAGGATTTCGAGGCAAGCGGCGATGATCAAGTGGAAAAACTCGAGAGAAAGCACTTCGACATTTTCAACACAATCACCGTTGCACCAGGTGGGGGTTTTGATTTGATTTGATGGCGAATTTCGGCTGTGTGAGCTCCAGATCGAAGCTTGAATAGGCTATATTGCTGGTTTTTGAAGGGGCAAGAGAGATATCTCGTTGGCCTTGAATTTTCATTGAAGGAGAGTGGAAATTGTGAAAACGAGTCGAATCGTCATTGTCAATGGGCTTTGTGAGCTCCAGATCGAAGCCTAAGCTAGTTACTTTTAAAGATATTCAATCAAAGAGCTGTGGTATCTAGTCGATTTGATTGATTTCGGGTTTCGGAGGGATTACTTGTCCCCTGTGCGTTCGAGATCGATAATTCTCTGATTTCCTTCAGTCCTGGAACGCACGGGGCTTGTTGGCAAAGCAGATTACCCATTTTTGCGAAATTTCGCAAAGCACAACGCCACCAAACGAGTTCACGGCTATATTGTGCTCTTCGAAGCCGGGATTACGGTCGTTTCGTGCTAATCCAAAAATTATGGAGCGCACAGTGCGGAATGGCGTTTGAAAATGTCAGAAATGATTGAAATTGAAATTTTTGAAATCCGAATCTCCAAATCCACGATTAACACACAAAAATCCCCAAAATGCAATAATTGCTGCAAAACCGTTTTGAAAGCCATTCCCCTCGAACAAAAGCGCCACTTCTGCGCATTATGCAAATTGGTGGGAGGTGTTCGCTCGCGGGAAAGGCTAAATACCGGCGTGGCAAAGGTGTCAAAGGGAGTCGATGACCTTGATGACCTTCATCACCTTCATGCTCAACTATAACAACTTTTCGATTGAATACCTTCAATAAAACTCATCCAGTCTTCGATCTGGATGTCACATAGCATTTTGACAGTGTCAAATCGAATCTAAATCCAATTTAACCCCATCCATCCCCTCAATCACCGGTTCAACTAAATATCTTGCTTTAGCATCCAAAAAACAAGGCACAAAACTCGCCCAGGACACAAGCTGGGTGTCACACAACCCATTTACAGTATCAAATCTAAAATCTAATCAGCTCTGTTCCATCTCTAAATCAGAATTCAGGTTCATCACAATATCTCAATTTTTGCAACTGAATACCATAGATTAAAGTTATACAAGCTTCAATCTGGATGTCACACAAGCCATTTACAATATCAAAAATCAAATCCCAACTCGATTTTCAGTTCGCTCAACCACTCCGCCATCGCATCACCTGCCGTCTCGTCTCCGCGAAACGCATCGCCCGCCGGAGGACGCGGATTTCGAGCGAAACTCTCGCGATTTCGAGGATCCTTTAGAGAAATCGTCGCCAATTTGCAATTCCCTCGGCGGCTTTTCTCTCATTTTCTTTGCGCTTTTCGTTTTTCTCAACGTTTAGAGAAATTTGCATTTTAAAAATTCGAAAATTTCCATATTTAAAACGGGTCATTTCTCGGCAATTAATTTCTTCCCAAAAATTGCCTCTTCTTACGTTGTTTTCTCGCGAAATCGGGTCAAAAATTCGAACTTTTTCCAAAAAACGACTTTATGCAAATTTATTTAGATATTTTATAAGCTATACATCTAAAACGTGCAATAAAAAGTTGAAAATTTGTTGGATAAAACAGCAAAATCATAGAAAAGCAAGAAAATTATGAGGTAAAAGCTCTGAAAAATGGAATTTTCGGGAAAAGTTAGCTAAGGTATCACAGAAAATGACTAAAAAATGTGAGAAATTTTAAAATTTCACAAGTTTTGCGGAAAAATGGCGGAAATGGATCGGATACCCGAATAGAGAATGAGAAAAATCCTTCTAAAATAGTGCATAACATGAGAAGTGTGCAAAAAAAATGGATAGAGATACAGTAAAGGTCTAGAAAAGAGCCGGTTTAGTTACGCAATTCCCAGAAATTCTATCAAAAACCCTGGTTTAGTTACACAATTTCAACACCCAAAAACAACTCCGGCAGCTATTTCTCAGGCGTTTGCTGTAGAAAAAGACACTCACATCGACAGAATTTGGCAAGTGTACAATATTTTTTCCAAGTTTCCATCTTCGATCGCTTCGATCAATTCGTTCCGATCACCTCGTTGTGCCGCCCATCTCGCGTAGTTGATCGATAAAACTAAAAAAATGGATGCATTAGAAGTGTATGAACTTTGATTTAATCTAAACTGCGGTGTTTCCACTAGAAATCCTTAAAAAGATCAGAGTTTCAATTACAATTCAAAAAATGCAATTACCCTCGGTTTAATTACCCAAATAAATGTTTTTAAACTGTAACTTCACTAGAAATCTTTAAAATCCGGCTTTTTCGCTAGGTCTAGACTTCTAATCAATCAAAATTCTTTCCAACCTTTGCGCATTGAGCATATGTGTGGTGGCGAGGAGAACTGACGGACCTCCGGCTTGATTCCGACGCTCGTTTGCAGCCCGCACTTGAGCCAACTAAAAAGGGAAATATTACAAAGCTTTGCCAACCAAAATTTAGCTTTTGATCGTTCAGCAAGTCTAGAATCTTGTGAATTTTGATGAAAACCAGCTCACCTCAGCATACGTCGCTCCGCCGATCACAAAAACGATGATGTTGTCGACTCGAGCGCTAAAAGAGAATATTGAAAGTGTTTGCAAACTCAAAAGCTACAAAAATTTTTTGTTTAACTCTAGATCAACTTCATTTTTGACTAGCTCTGGTACCAAATTCTATCAAAATACTACACATTCTCCAAACCACTCGCCTATACTGTGACGCCGTGTGTTTCGGGTAGACATTCTCGTTGAATCGTCCTCTCGCAATCGACTCGATGATTTGCGTCAAATACGGGGTGTGCTGGGTGTACACGTTCTCCACGCCTTTCAACCCTTTGATGAATCTAAAAGAACAGCAAGACTAGGAGGTTTCTCAACACTTCCACGATTTGGCGTGGAACTGTTGCGAATCCAATCTTAACTCTATCAAGCCCACCTTTTCGTCATTTCGACAGCCGATTGGCTCCCGAAGAGGTCATTCTTTCGTCTCGACGCTCCGCCAAATCGCAAAAGCACTCGCACAAGGGAAGCAGCAGCTGGTTCTATAAGAATAAAATGTAAAATTTTTGCATATAAAGACTGATTAAGTTTTATGTGCCTTTAAATGGCAAGGAAGCAATTGTTATATGAAATTACTTGAACGGTTTACTTTTAGCTCACCTTTCGATCTCAACAACGCCACCACACCATCGATATCGTTGTTTTGGTGTTGTTCGAAGCGCAACGCGTAGAGCAAAACGAGTCGAGTCGCATTCTAAAATGGAGAATGATGAGTGAAATCGTTGAAACTTCAATTTCAAAGCTCTTTTTTATAAACACATTAACTCCAATCAAAAATTGTCCCCAACAATCACTTAAACTCACCAATACTGTCGTCTGCTTGTTCACCAGATGATTTCTGACTCGATCGAGGCATGTCGTGTGATCTCCATCAACCACAATCGATTGTTCCAACTAAAAGTCGAATGAGAATTCTGAAGTTTGCCATTAAAACCCACCTCCGACACTTCCAAGAGATTATTCGCGGCAACAAGGCGACTCAACTCGCCCACAATCGAGACGTGCTTTGAAACGGTGCCTAAAATGTAGCAAATTTACAAATTAACCTTTAAATTTGAAAATTTTTTGACCTTTCCTTACCTGACATTTTCTTGAATTGCGGGTATTCCTCGACAAAACTCTTCATATCCGCTATCGATTCGACATTTTTGTGGATTTGAGCCTAAACGAGTGGATTCCCATTTAAAATATGTAAAATTACTCCGACCTTTGACTGAAATTGTTCCATCAATTGCTTTATGCTCTGTCCGATCTCACCGAAATTCGCGTTTACATTCTAAAATTGATAGCTTAAATGTTAAATTCACCAATATAAACAAACTTTTTCATAAAATTCATCTTGTAGTTCGGAAAGCACCAAACTTTGTCCATCCAGCGTCACTCGATTATTCTGCAAGCCGAGTAGCTCGTGCACCTGAATGGAAGAAATGATTGGTATGAATGAAATTTTGGAATATACTTCAAAATAAATAAAAATATGAGACTTGGCAATGTTTACATTGGCTAGAAATGGTTCTTAAATAAACGAATCGCTTGTTTCTTGATAAATTCGCTAATTTAAAGAATCCCTAAAACTGCTGCATGACAGGCTTAGATAAAACAAGAGATTCTTCAATTTAGCCTTTTTTCCACAATTCCTTTTCCCTCACCATCGCTTCATACGTCCATTGATTCAAAAGTGGCGTGGCACAATCCTCGGATCGATCGATCACCAACAACAGCGTATCCTCTTTGCACGTCCGGAAGAGGGCCTCCTCACGGCGCATCACCTAAATTAGGTTAATATAATGGAAAATCTTTGGCAAAAGTGATTGAAGAAAGTTTGCTGCCAAATACACACCTGTGTCACCTCGTCGGCCAATTTCTCGCAATCGCCGTTCGACTTTTGATAGCTAAAGAACACAAGTACTTCAAAGAGTTTACAGATTCTACAGTTTTTCTTTGGAATGGTAATGTTTCTATCCTTTACATTAACATTTTTACAAGTATATACCAGTCATTGGAGAGAGTTGTGCGCTTGTTTGGTTACTAATTGATATGGGATAAAACTTTACAAACAAGTTCATTGAAACATTAAAATAAAATAAAGTTTCAAGCTAATAACTGACACATTTTACATCAAATTAACACTGGTAAATTGAATGGACCAATAAAATTGAGCTTCTTTGGATTTTTTTGACTATTAATTGACATTACAAACTTTACATCTTGATTGAAACATTGTTCAATTGCTCCTAATGCTTCCATTCTAGACCCACCAAACAGTTGGCGCCTTTTTGAAAGCCAACAACAACGAGATGATCGTCTGTTTTGCGTGCAGAAAAGCGGTGGTGCTGAGGCGGAGAGATGCATCGTATGGATGATGAAGACCGATTGATAACAGATGTTTGGACAACGGGACGGCGTCGATGAAGAACTCGTGCACCTCGCGAACCTAAGTAAAGAATTGGATGCCATAACGCCAGCTTAATAACCCAATTTTCACAAAAATTACCGTTTCTTCTTCATCAGCTTCGGCGAGCAGCTTGATATCGCTTTTGTTAGCAATGTTGGAGAAGACTGAACAAAAGTGTTTTCAAAAGTAAAAGTGTGCCCTACAGATATAATATTGAGCGTATTTAGGCGATCGGAGCTCTCGACACAACAATTGAATGTTCTCGGCGGTGGGACGGACAAAGACAATACACTAAATCAAACAATGCAATGGTTCAAAGATTCAAACTAGTCTGTTAGCTTCAATCTATCAAAATGTGAAAGGTTTTATGTCTAGTTTAAGCTAAGATTCTGTTCAAGGCTACTTTTATATTTCAAAACTTCAAGCCAAGCCAAGTCAAGTCAAGGACAATAAAGCAATGAAATGTCTCTTGGTGGTATAGTATTTCGGGAGGAGACAGGGTGCATTCGTCCCTATTGAGACAGAGCGCACTAATTTCTGCTTCTAGGGTTTTTAATAGCGTAGATTCCTAGTTTAGAATCTATTTAAGCTTTAGTAAAAGTTTTTAAAACTAGTAAAAAGTTCGAAAAAACTGGTCTTTCCAAATTGCCTACTATAGCGCCTGTTTTCTTTCCTGTGGGGATACTCAAAATTCAGGTGAAGCCAAGAAAATTGGCATGGCTTAACGTTTTGAAGCATCTTGTATAATATTAAAACAAACCTTCAAATGTTTAATGTTTTCCCGTGGCGCGGCGTTGTCGATTCTCTCAAACAAGTAGACCTCTTTGTGCATCATTTCTGATTGGGCAAAGGCACACGAAACGATTCCCGTCTAAAACAAGACCAATTTATATGCTTTATCAAAGCAGCAGTATGACTAATTAAGTAACAAATGGCCTAATTATATCGCTAATATGTCTATAATCAACGGGTCTTTATCCGTTTAAGCTTGGTTACATTAAAGTTGGAAAATCTGATTGGAATGACTCAATAAAATCAACCTAAAGCTGTTTTTGGCTGAGTTTCGCATGTTTGTTCGCAATCATTCTGATTAAATTTGAAATGACTTTTGATCAATTTAGACTAATCAGATCCGTTTTCAACTTTCCAAACCTAGTCTAACCGAAAAAATTCCCTTACCGTTTCCTTATCCATCAGCAAAACTTTCATCTGCGGGCCGGCCTGTGTCACCATTTCGCCGATATACAGCCGCGCAGTCGCTAGAATATTCATCCCACTAAATTTTTATTCGTTTTGAAAGACAAAAAACATAATAACTTATTCGAAAACAAAGAGAATACTGAGAATTTCCGAAAAATTTGAACACTAACATAACATTTTCTAATCGATCACAACGGCTAGAAGAGAAAAATGGCCAAAATGACAGGTGCAGTACTTAGGAATTTCAACTTATTGCTCGGAATTTGTCTATTTTCATGAAAACTCCTCAATTTTAGTAATTTTTGGAACTTTTAAAGAAAAAAAGGAAGTCAAGTAACATTTTTGACCCCCATTAATAGCTCGTGCAAAAATTTTAGTCAAACACCGACCCCTAACCTGTCACAGTACTAACACCAAAGATAACAAAACGAAATTTGAGCAAATAAAGCACGTTCAACGAATTTTCAACTGTTTCATCTTTGGCTTCATCTTGCGATCGTGTTTCGCCTCCAATTTCTCCAAGCGTCGCTGCTTTTCTGGGTCTTCCTCCTCCAATAGTCGTTGCTTCCTTTCGCGTGTCCTTTCCTCGCGCCTAGCTTGAGCGGCTTCCTGTCGCTGTAGATGAGTTGTCTTCAAGAAACTCTCCTCCACCGTTTGCCGGTTCTTCTCGGTTTTCACTTTTCCCTCACGTGACAGCCGGAATCGTCGTGCTTTGTCCAACAGGTAGAACATCAACGAGATCAATTCGTCATCCTCTTCATGCACCTCGTCATTGCCATCACGGAGTTCGAAGGAGAAGATTGCGACACGTGAAACGTCCGGCAGACGGGTGTAAGTCTCTCCCTCAGCAAGCTTTTGGCCACAGAATTGATCGGTGATGTGAATGGAATGGATTCGTTGCTCGTACTTTCGCAGAAGGGTCAACACACCGGGGTCAAGCACTCCCAAAGCGGCCTCGTTCAGCTCGGAGAAGAGTCCCCAACTTGCTGGCAATCCTTGGAACGATCCACTTTTCTTCTCACTTGCGTACGTGGAGAGATCGGCCAGCTCTTTATGCTGTTTAGCGACGTGTTTCTTCTGTCCAACGGCTAGCACCCAAGAGTCGATCTCGTTTTGGTCAAAGTCAAACTTGAATGTGATTTTGTCGGTTTGCGGTGAGAAGAGTCCAATCACTCGGCTCACCAAGTCTTGCCTTTTCATGGTTCTCATTTGAATCAAGAGTCCCGAGACACCGACACGTCCAGAGCACCAAATTGAGAATGAGCAATCAGTGTCTTTTGTGAGATTTCCCTCAGATGGCGTCTCCGACAATCCATCGTCACCAACCACAGCGAATTGTTGTTCCAAAGCGGCCTTGTGCGCGGCAAACCAATTGTAGGCGAGATTTTGGTTGGTGGCTCGACCGAAGATGTAGTTGAGAAGGTAGAGCGCCAAAATGAGCATCACTACCGCTTCCACTTGATACGAGGCCCAATTCGATCGGAAATGTGCAGGCACATCGGCGAATTTCAGCGGCTCTGGCTGGCTTGGTGTTTCCTGGTTGGTTTGCTGCTCGTTCTCCTCTGTTTCTTCGACAACACCGAAATCGTCATCGTCATCATCGTCAGTAGTCACCGGTTTCTGCTGTTGTTGCTGTTGTTTTTCTTCCTTCACCGGTTCCTCGACTTTTGGCTTTTCTTGCTGTGATGGTGGCTTCGGGATCTCGACCTCGTCGTCCTAAATTTAGAAATTAAAACGGGTTGTAAGATTAATTATTTCTTGTCATTTAGGAACCTCGCACCTGGATTTAAGCAGATAATTTCTGCAACGGAGCCTAGTTTTTTCTAAACCCTAAGCATTCAAAATTTAATTTGACTAAAGTAATAATCAATTGTCAGTCAGTAAACAAGGCCTTGCTACAGGTTCTGAAGCCGATTTTCCGCAAAATGATTTTGATTTTTGGTACTTTGTGGGTTGGGGGCACTTTTTAAAAAAATCTTCACTTTTCCTGGGGGTAATCAGTGAGGCTGAATACGAATTCGTGTTTTTAGACCCGGTTTATCATCGAAAAACCGACTCTGTGCTTAAGATCACTGTTGCTCAGGTTAGGAAACGGTTTAACAAATTTTCTTTTAACAAAAATAGGTGTAACAGCCTGTTTTTTTTCTTGTTAAACCCATTAACCTCAAGGTCCCTATAAGCAGCCCAAAAATGATTCAAGCTATCGTTAACTCGATAAGCTTAAAATGAGAAGACTTGGAATCAACGCCTTGAAGAAGATGACTCTGCTGGAGTTGAGTGCCAAACACCTCCTTGAAGAACAATTTGAAGCATGATTAATGGCTAACGGTCTCCTCGCGAAAAAAAATGCAATTTAGTTGACTGTATATCATGAAAAGGTCCTATAAACGTTAATTTTTGAGTGAAGTGAAGAGAAAAGTATAGATTTTAAAAACAGTGCCGGTACTTTGGTGATTGGGAGGGGCCACTTTTATCCTGGCTTAGTTGGATCTAATGTTTTGAGTGTTTGTATTGCTACCTTTTATCTATTCTAAGGTCATCAAATATGCTTAATAGATTGGTGATTATTCTGTTTTTGGTAATTCTAGCCTAATCTCATGTACTTGAACCACCAAACGCTACCTCAAAGCTGCTTACCCTTGGAAATAAAATAAAAGCGGCAATATGAAACTTGAAACATGTTGTAGAAGCATATTGGTTTGCCTAAAAGTAGAAGCCTATTTGTTTGCCCTAGAATAGGTAGATAAAAGGTGTTAATACAACCACTCAAAACAATAAATAGATCCAACTGAGCCAGGATAAAAGTGACCCCTCCCAACCAGCAAAGTACTTTGGCCCCTTGGTACCAAAGTGCCAACGAACCCACAACCAACTTTCTTCGTTAATAATCAACTTAATAACAAACTCGTTACCTCAAATTCAGCGAACTCGTTCAGTTCAGCATTCCCGGGCGGTCCCGCTAGCGCACCGAGCGTGCAGAAGAGGAGAAAAATGGCGAAATGCCTGGTCGCGAAGAGCCGCATTGTTTCACGCGATCCAATTCAAGAATCAATTAAGCTCTAAATTGATGTGTAAAAGGATGTAAATCAAAAGATAAGCAATAAAGAAATCAAAAACTCTAAAAAACTCTTAAGAAATCAAAAAATTAGACTTATCAGACGAAATTTTAGGCTCTCAACAACAAAATGGCGCTCAAGAAACAAAAATTTTCAACCAGAATATGAATTTGTTGGTAAATTTACAAAGTTTAATTGTAAATCTACAATTTGATGGTCTAACTAACAACAAAAACCTTTCGTTTCCAGGCGAATTGGCCTCAAAATCATCTATTTACTTGTTAATCGGCCCAAACAACAAGGTACACAAAAGGGAAGTACGGTGGAAAGGGCATAAAGAAGAGCGCTGAGCATCTAGAGCCGTAGATAAGGCCACAGAATTCAAAAAAGCAACGCAAATTTGTTAAAAGCGCACAATCTTACGCCATTGTTCTGCTTTTGAAAAAGAAAATGCTAAATTCTTTTTTCTTTTTGCCTTATATCCGTTTTAAGCAGTTTTTAAAGATATTCAGCCAATAAGGTGAATATCTTAAGGGGTGTCTATCTAGATTCAGTCAATAAGCTGAATATCTTTTTGTTGAAAGCGAAAATATTTGATGCCTTCTTTTAATTTGCCTTGCGTTATATAATTCCTAAAAAAGTTTAAAATGTTCAGCTAATAACCTAAATATTCTTATGAATTTGGGTATTTAACCCAAAATTGAAAATTTAAAGGCAAGAATTCATTATTGCTTCCACTTCTCCAGCGTTTCGTTGCACTTTTTGTTGCTTGTTGTTTTGTTTTTAAACTTTTATCGTTTTAATCTCACTTTTTATCATTTTCAGTGAACGACGCGGCCAACCACAGCATCGACCCGTCACAAACATGTACTCCTCATCGATTTCGGTGAGGATTTGTAAGATTTTTGCTCGGATCAGAAGATTTACGGCTAAAAACGTCTAAACGTTGATCCGATTTGATGAGCCAAATCACGATGAAAGCTCATCTGTAAGGATCAGGCTAAAAACGTCTACACTTTGACTATAAATTGTTGATTGACGGTTTAAAGTTCTGAATTTTGCAAAAGTTTATGTTTAAAAGACGTTACTTTTCACAATGTGACGGACTTAACGCATTAAAGCTTTAAAAAAGGGTCTATTTTGAATTCGATCACATTTTTTCTCCCATTGATATATTTTTCTTCAGGATTCCGACGATGAGCAACAAGAAGCGCGAAACGAAACAGCAAACAATCACTCGAACAAAGCATTTCGGAAAGTTGTAAGGGATCTTTATAAAATTATTAAAATTAAAATTGTGAGATCATAGTGAAAAGCTAGATTTTCTAACATTTTTTCGTTTAGAACAAGTACAATTCATCAAGCGCTCGTCAGCGGTCCGTCTCGGAAGACGAAGAGGAAGAAGTTGCTCCCGTGGAAGATGATGAGCCAAATCACGATGAAAGCTCATCTGTAAGGATTGAGAAAGCAATGGAATGAATAGAATGTAGAACAATGCAACAATAGTTTTAAATCATTCAAAGGCGTTTTGTTTTTGTGTTTTATGCGGTGGCTTAGCATAAATAGAACCACTCGTTGCTTAGATTGTTTGTTGGAAAGCTTTTTTCTCCAAAATCTTATTTGATTTAGGTAGAGCGAGCCTCAACGCCAGAGTTCTTCCCAGACGATGATGAGCCGCCAGCTGTAGAACGAGAAACTGTAAGCTATCTTACTTCTAAACTTTTACAGGTCGTGACTGTGCATAAAGATAACTTGTGCTAATATTTATGCTTTTAGTCCACCAGCAATCGCAAGAGGCCACTTCATGAGGATGAGGGTGGCGATCAATCGCCGTTGAAGAAGCCGGCGGGTGGTATTGGAGAACGACTGATGGCAAAGATGGGCTTCAAGCCGGGCGAGGGACTTGGAAGAGATAAACAGGGTGAGTGAAATGTAAATGAGGAGTAGAATAGAAGCTGCCAAAATCTATTAACGTCAGAACTTTGATTAATAATTTATCATTTAGGTATCGCTGAGCCGATCAAGTTGGCCATGCAAAAGGGCCGCATGGGGTTGGGACATCAAGAATCGAAGGTATCAACAAATTTTACGAAAAAATTTATGTCAGCTTTAGGCACTTCAATATGATCCGACAAAGCAATGGGACGATTCAGAGGAGAAGAAAACTGTTGAAGAGGTGGTGGTTCATTTTGAAATTGCTTAAAGTTTATATTTAGACCCCCGTCTGGATGTCACTCTTCAGTGACGACGCAAATGGTTTAGTGGAACGACAAGATGAGGTACTTGAACGATTTTAGAACTTCAGCAAACGAGTTTCTTAGGTGAATCGTGTCATCAAGGACAAGAAGCAATTCCTCGTCGCTGAAGTAAACCAAAAGTTTTTGTTCCAAATAAAAGTGTTTCAGAAGAAGCTCTTCATCGAGGATGAGGTGGATGTGGTTGATGGGCAATTGTTGAAGAAGCTTTTGGAAGCGAAAACGGTAAGTGATTTGGCGGCCGGTTGCGCCGACTTTTGCAAGCAACGAGGAAAATTGTGATATTCAGGTGTTCGACTCATTGAACGATCGGGATTTGCGCAATTCGAGGACCAGAGCGAATCCGTATGAGACGATTGGATCCGGAATATTTCAGGTATGGCAGAAGTGATCGTGCTCAAAATGTTACATTTTTATTCAGAACCGTGCCGCGATGAAATCCGCAAATATGGACGGGATCTTCAATTTTCTCTTCTCAAAAGAGGACACCAATTTATTGGAGGCAAGTTTTTCAAAAAGTTCCGACAAAGTTTTGATTTTCTAGGAAAAATGCCCCCTCGACGTCAATAAGCCTGGGAAAAACGATAAGCATCGACATCAGGAGCTTTTCTACTTTGCTGACGTTTGTGCAGGTAATGAAATGAAAACTTAATCTACTCTTAACCTTCTTTAATTAAGGTCCGGGTGGCTTCTCGGAGTACCAGCTGTGGCGCAAGAATTTTTACAACGCAAAGGGTTTCGGATTCACTTTGAAAGTTAAGTTTTCAAGTTACCTAGGGTTTAACAATAATTCAAAAAGTCGATTGTATTGTTTTTGTTTAGGTTCCGACGACTTCAAACTTTCAAAATTTCTCGCCTCGTCTCCGCTTTTCTTCGAACCCTATTATGGAACACATGAGTAAGTTTAGTGCAACAGATTTTATGGACTCACCAAACAATTGCCTGACTAACAAGTGCAATTTTAGTGACGGTGATGTGACGAAACCAGCGAATATCGACTCGTTTGAGGATTTGGTGAAACGAGGAACAGAAGGAATTGGAGTCGATTTGATGATGGCCGATGGAGGATTTTGTGTTGATGGACAAGAGAATATACAGGTACTGGAGGCTGGAAATTTATCAAATTTGGCAACAGAAGGCTCGATAATGACTTTTGACCGTTTGAACGCTTCAGGAAATCCTCTCGAAACGAATCTACTTGTGCCAATTGCTCGTCTCGTTGTGCATCGTACGTGAGGGCGGAAATTTCTACTGCAAACTTTTCGACGTGTTCACGAGGTTTTCCTATGAGTAAGTGGCTTTGTTCTTGAGCTCAAAGTTTGCTTTTGTGTTTAGGTTGATCTTCTTGATGTCACTTTGCTACCAGGACGTTTGCATTCACAAGCCGCACACGAGTCGACCAGCAAATTCGGAGAGGTGAAGATTGGCTCTATACAACCAATTTTTTTTTGCTTTTGTTCAGGTACATCATCTGCAAGGGTTTGATGAAACGCTTCTCGGATCCGATTCGTGATTTCCTCAAAGCCGTGAACCGAAAGCAACAAGAGCTGGTGGAAAAGAAAAGCGACAAAGATGTACAACAATTGCTACCACATCATTTCGGGAATGAGTTGACCGAATCGGAACGTCTCTTCTTGATCTACATCACCGACAACAATAACATGTGAGTGATTTAATTAGTACCTATAGTAAGCCGGAATTCTACTGTTCAATTTATTGGTTAACTAAACCAGCTTGAAAACTGTAAGCATTATTTTGGCTGTAGTATATTCGAAACCCTGCTAACCTTTTAATGGAGAGCAAATTTTTGTTACAGGATCGCAAAACGACAAGCGCACTACCTTGAGAAGTATCGAGTGTTCGCGACAAACGTTGGCTTAGTGGATATGGATCAAGCCGATTTACGCGAGAAGTGCATGAAATATTGGAGGGTTAGTTCCATGTTAAACGTTAATTTCCTGAATTAAAAGCCTTGACCATTAACCACCTATTGTGTTCAGGTTCCCTATGACATGCAGCCTCACGACTCGCGTCGAACCGGTCTGAATCGTGTTCAACAAGTGCACTCACCGGAGCAGCTAATGTCAAAATTTGCACCAAAGGTCTGTTTTAGGTTATAAAATCAATGTTATTGGGAGTTACTTACAGAAATCTCCCTTTTTAGATGTTCGGCTCTAATGACTTCTCAGCGAAATCGTTTGAATTCGAGAAACATTGGGAAGAGGTGAGCCTACTGTTAAAGGTTACGAGAAATTGTTTGTTCTTAAGATTTTCATAAAAAATGCTAAACCCGGCCAGTATGTACACGAGGAGTATCGCTGTTTTTGGGCTACTGAGGTGGGATTTTGTCCATCTGCTTTAAATTCTTTAGATGCCAGGCTAATGAAATGTTTTTTTAGTTTAAAACAAATCAATCGGCCCCGGTGAAGATGAAGGTTTTGGTGGCGACACCGGTGGGTTTTTTTGGGAGGATTCTATGCTAGATTTGTAATCATTTCCTTTTTTAGGATGCGGTCTACTATTTGGACGAGAGCTCGCATTGGACGACTTGTGATCGCTTCTTGTATCGAGTGCCCGGTCCGTCGATTTTGTTGGTTGAGTTGACCGAGGAAATGGCTAAGGTATAAATAATAAAATGTTATTAACCGGTTTTTTTATTTAGTCAAATGGAAAGCTCTCGCTCCCGGGGAAAAACAACGGCTCGATCATTCGAATCTTTGACGCGGCGGTGCTGGCGGGCGATGATGTGAGCAAGCTGAGCTACGATGATCGAATGAAATGCATTGTCAAGTACTGCAAAGCGGCTACTTTGGTCAGTGATTTTGTTTGTGTTGGAGGCATTTTTGTTTAGGTGGAGAATGTTGTCCATGTGGCGATGCCCGTGCAAAAGCCGTACAATAGTCGTGGGAGAGGCAGGGGGCAGCCACAATTCACGTAAGTAGTAGTAGTAGTAGTAGTAGTAAAGCTTTGAGTAGTAGTAAGGCAACGTGAAAATATGTACACAAAATGAGCGTTTAAGTTTCGAACGCAAATCCTACACTCCGCTACGATTGGTGCCGGCAAAGGTGTTCACGTTGGATAGGTTGAATGAGGTGAGAGTTGAGTGGGACTTTGCAAGTGCAATACTTCTTTTTTAGCATCTACCCCGCGAACTTGTGCTCAACAACGAGAACATTGGGGTCATTGAAGAGGATGGGAAATCATACATGGTGTCTGGTCTCTTCGTTATCAAATTTTTACAAGGTCTGCCATGTTTTTACAAAAATTTCTTTTAAAGTCAATTGAATCATTGATTTCAAAAGTTTTATTTTTTCCAGATCGTTGGTCGATGCAAATCAGCCGTAAAATGCGCCAATGCTATGCCTTCAATATGGTGAGTGCGAAGGAATTTCAATAACTAACGATTTTTTTTGTTTAGGACACCCGTATTTCCGTGTTCTCGGATCGATTCGAGCACTCGGGTTGTTTGACGACATTTTGGGACACACTGGTGACAGCGAAGCGGCCGCATTATCGAATGTTCTGGAATTGGAGAGCAAAATGTGAGTGCTTTTCTGAGGTTATTCTTGTTAAAGTGCTCGTTACTAGACTTGGAGCATTGGGGGTTGGAGCTAAACGATAAAACAATCCCCTTTTAACGTTTTTCCTTTCAGATGGCGATACTCCATACGGTCCACGATGGATTCTCAACGATGAGCAGAATGCTGCGGGTCCAACTCTACACGAAATAAACAAACGAATGAATGAGCTAAAGCAATAGATACTTTTACGTTCAATTTTTATTTGGTTTCTTTTGGGGTATAGATTCCGTTTTGAGTCAAATTTCGTTTAAATTTAGCAAGTTTTTGTGAAATTTTCTACAGATTCAGCTTTCAATTGATTAGCCTAAAGCTTTGCCAGATTTTTCAAAACGAAATCTTTCCATCTCTACATTTTACGGGTTTTTAAGGATACCAGGTCCATTTTTGTAGTTTTTTTTATTTTTGGGAGAAATCTATGATTCTTAATATTTGTTTGCTTTTGTTTTGCTAAAATTCTCTTGTTTGTGGTAATTTTTCTTTAAACTAGTGTTAATTTTTGTTACTTTGAGTTCTTTTGGCAATAAAGTGAAGAATTTTATTTGAGATTTGACGCTTTTGGTGACATGAAGGGCTAGGTGGATTTCCTGATTCTTGTGTGAAATTTTGAGATTACTTGCATTTGAAAGATATCCGCGTTTTCATTTCAGACAGACAACAGTAGCTCGAATTTAAACGATTTGCGGAAACGATCAAAACAACTCTACGATCTTGATTCTATTTTGATAGGATTTTAATGTAAAGTTCATCTTTTTGACTGTTTAGTTTTCCAAACTGTCTTTATGACTGACCAAGCTGACTGTCTTTCTACCAGCCGAAAAATCTGCCTAACAACGGGTTTTTCTGGCTGGGTGTTTTGGGGCTGACGTATAGTTTGATCTCTCAAGTGAAAGGGCCTCCTCCCCTTCCACTACAAGTACAAAAACTTGTAACAACAGAACGGAAATCTGAAAGTTTTTGTCATCGAATGGGTTCAGCGAAAAACGGCTTTTACATGCTTCGATTTGCCGATTTCTTCAACCTTGAATCCCCCGGATAATTCGGCCTCAGTGCGTTAGCTTTTTCGCCTTTTTCATCTCAATGGAGTGATCACTTTTTAACGATTCTGTTACACGTTAAATCATTATGTTTTCGAGGGACTTTACGGATAATGGTGTTAGCAATTAGCTCAGCTAAACTTGGTCATTCTCATTACATTCCAGATAATCCTTTTCAATCCCATTGACCTTCAAAGTACCCGTTATTGTTGTAGAATTGATTGTTTGTTGTCACGTTTCATTGTTTTCTTGTTTCCTTGGTTATTCTTGCATTTGTTACAAATAAAGTTTGGAATTTTATTGAGAAAGATGGAATTTTGTCGTGAATTCGCGGGAATTCTATACTTTTAGCTAGTTAAGAGCGGTTAAATTTCCAATTCTTGGAAACGTTTATCTATATCGATAAATTTTTCTCATTAGGAATGATGAGTTTCGTGAAAGCGCTGGTTTTGAAATTGTTTTGTTATCTAAATTTCACGAAAAGTCTAATCTTTTATGTTTCAGGTATAAATGATCGTCAATTGGCGATGACCAATTGGAGAAGAAAATGGAGAAGAAAAAAAGGGAAATGAGGATCGAAATGGAGAAGAAAATGGAACGATTGAGGGATCAACTCAACCATTTCCGATGAAGAAGTTGGATCAAGATAAGAGTGGAGCCGGTGAAGATGCGTTTCTTTCGCTCTCGATGCTGAATCTCAAGACGTTCCCAATGGAGAAATTGTGTTACGATCTGAAGTTGGAGTTCCAGAACTCCAACTGAAAGGAGGTTCCAGAAAAAAAAGGACACAAAGGAATTGTTTTGTTTTTTTTGTGGAATAGTTTTGGGTAATTATACACCAAGAAATTTCCGGAGTCACCACGATTTTACTTGGATTTCGATCCCCACCATCCTTTGATCGAATGCATCACTTCGTGTTACGGATTGAAGCTTTGGTCTTCTCATGATTCGTCAATCATCGAAGTCAAGCATGAAGCATCCCTGAAACAATTGAAGACGTTGATCAATTGAATGTCAAATTTTTCTCGAGAACGATGTGAGAAATTCTTTTCAATATCCCCACGCATTCGCGCAGACAACTCTGATTTTTGAATTCGATTCAGTCGTCGAAGATCAATCCCTGAACGATCAACTTGGAAATTGGAAATCATCGAAAAGAACAACAACAACGAAGAATGTGAGAAAATCAAACTGAAGAATCTTTCGGAGTATCTCTTCTATGCTTGATACAATGTCTTTGGCAAAGACACGGATCAAAGTTATTAAGATGAATGCGTATGAAATTTTGAAGCTGGTCGTTTATTGGATCGTTGAGCATGGTGTCTAACCAAAAATTTGGTAGTCGGTTTTTAGACTTGGGTTGATTGGTCCGATGGTTAAATCCCATTTAACCAAGGAACCCTTTCTCATGGAATACTCAGAAATGAAATAAGGATGGAGAATCTACATCTACATGCATGATAAATAAATTGCATCTACATGATAAATAAGACTACAGTTGCGGAAAAAGATACTTTGGACCCGTACTTTTTGGCTTTCTAGATTCGACGTGAGTGAAATGATCGATTTGATGCTTAATGCTATAATTTTTTTGATTGTTTAGATTTATAAATGTTTAGAGTTGTTCCGATTAGAATGTTGTTGCTTTTTGCTATGTTTTACTAGCTTTTCTCGTTATTGTTGTTACTCGGAATAAATTTATAAAACATTGTTCGATGATGAAGTTACTGTTTGAAGCAGTTGTCGATTTCTTGATGGATTGACTTGTTTTTGACTTATTCCAGCTATATCTCAATTTCACTATTTCCTAACATTTCCGTTATCTGTAAAGCGCCTCTTTATGTCAAAACAAAGTCTAATCTTTTTATTTATAGGTGGAAGAATGGCGTCGATCGAAATGAAGAATTTGAGGTCATTTCCAATGGAGACGTTGTGCTTCGATTTGAAATTGGAAGCGTTGGAGCAAATGGAACCAAGGGATGTGTATGAGTTGGCCAAGGTGAATCAAGGATTCCAGGGGATGCTCGTGAGGCGTCCTTCGATCGTTTTTGGAGAGCACGTCTCTTGGATTCGATTTGACGATGAGATTTGGATCAAGAAGTTTTCGAATTCAAATTAAATGGAGCTCAATGTCGATCGTCTCTTTTCTCACTTTTCTTTCGTCAAGAGGATTCGATCGTGCGACGAATTGTTGTTTCTGATCGCTCATCAATTCAACGGGAAATCTACACTTCTGAACAATTTGAAGTCGGTGAATCGATTAGTGCTGCGTGAGGATTCAAAAGAAGCCCTCGAGAGATTCTTCTCAAATTTCCACGCATCGATCAAGAAAGAAGCATTACTGGATATCTACGGCAGTGCTTTCAATGATCAAGTGATCAAAGATCGGATGGGGAATTTTATGGTGGGACCTCAACTCAAGGATTGCGAGAGGGTTTGGCTTCACTGTCGTACTGAAGATTCAGTTCGCTTTTTCTACAACGCATTGTTGAAGTCTCAAATCAAAAACGTTCTTATGCGTTTGATTCATCGGGTTGCATGGATTTGATTATTCAACAGATCATCACCAAAGGAATCCCGAGCAAGAACCCTGAGGCTGCTATTTTCCTTGATCATATAACCGCTTACTTCACGATGGATCTCTCACAATATCCAGGAATGCGACGAATCGATGGAGAGAATCGACTTCGACTTCTCAAACAGGCGAAGGATCGTATGGGGAATTTTGGATTTTTCTTCAGGGAAGAAAGCTCAATTTTCCGTCGACGCTTTGATTCAACCAAGGACTGCATCTGCGTGTGCAACAAAGGATATACTGGGTTCTTGGCTTTCTACATCCTCGTCGATTAAAATGATCACTCTTGGATGATTCATTGTATATTTTTGTCGCTTTCTATCATTGTTTCCATCTTTTAAATTGACAGATTATTGGTCTTTTTTTCTGCTATATTTTGCGGCCTTTCATTTATCCAAAATAAAGTTTTAAAATCTTTTGTGAGATGAAAAGAAAACGGTTGGAGATTTTCTGTACTTTTGAATGGCTCTGAAAGTGTCAGTGCGTTCGAAGTTGTCAAATTTTTAAGGAGATCTCTGATAATCTTTTTTCAACGTTTTTGCTCTATGAAAGCTGTAATTTGCAAATTTTTCCATCTCAAAACCTTCCAAATCGACATTTTACTATCAAAAACAAACTCCAAAACACGAAAATGAAAACAAGCATCAAAAATTGAAATTTTGCAAAATTCGAGAAAAATTCGTTAAGGCCACACCGAAAATGAGAGAAATTTGACGAGAAGTGACTTTTCGAAAAATTCTATAAAAAATCCATTTCTTTTTGAAAATTTCGAGTTACGTGAGCAACAGATTGGAGGAAAAATTGAAAGGTTTTTGGAAATCTTTTAATTTCGCCGAGGAATCAAGCTGAACTCTTCAGCGGCTGCAATTCGAGGGTTTTCGCCGTCTCCTCGCCGTACTTTTGCAGTTCCCACGCTCGCAACTTTCGCAATGGGATGCAGATGAGACCTGGAAATTGAGTTTTTTGTATTAAAATGCAAATTTTCGTATTTGTTTCCCATCAAAACCCAGTCAATTCGCATTTTGCGTAATTTTTATCGCCTCGGCAAACGAAAGTTATTTTAATTTCTTGACACAACGACACTTTTACAGTATTATTGCCCGTTTCATAGTTTATAAATCCAGTATAATATTTGGAATCTATATTTCTCACCCGATAAAGTCATCAAGACGCCCATCATGTAGAACGATATGTCGAAATTGCCCGACCAGTCCTTGATGGACGCTGAAAATGGGGGTTGTAGAGATCTGTGACAACGTTGGAGATGTTTGGCAAGCTCTCGTGTTTTTTTTTGCCTTGGATCGGCTTGAATAAGTTGTTCCAATTCATTATTATCGCTGCCGAGCAATGCCCATCTGGCTCGTCTTCAAGCGATTCCTTATACCTTCGAGCAAATCGTAGCTGAATCGGGCAAACCATAGCTGGCAGGATCTTTCCGTCATAACTTCTTCTCCAAAAGCGGATCACGAAGTGATTTGGCAGCGTTATTGCCCATCTTGAAATCGTAGAGAAGAAACGAAACATATTGTTGATCCACCATGATCTTGAGCAAATATAAATTAAAAAG